CCGTTAAGTTCGACTGAGCAAATAAGACCAAAAAATATCCAACGATGTCACGAGCCCTAATGGCATCGTCCAGGTTGACATAAAATTGTAAAGATTTACCTTTCAGATTGCTTGTACTTGGAGATATCAATCTTTAATGATTTGAGATGAAGCATGTGTTGAGCCTTAATTCCAAAAGCCTACTGCTGTATCAAGCGTTCGAACTAATGAGCAGCCTGTCATCTCAAAAGCTCTGTCTGCTGAGAAAATGCTGGTGAAGCAAGGTTGACCTTTTCTGTTCCATATCAAGTTCATTCGAGATGAACTTGACAATGACAGAATAATACCCATCTGATTCCAGTACGGACACTTCTGCTCCGACGGCTTCTTGGTCAGTCGTTGAAATCATAATTCCGACGAGATCTTGTTTGATTTGACTCAAATGAGATAAGTTTTTCCACGCATGCGTGAAAGTTTCCTCTTCAGTGGACATCTCATCTCACTGTACATCATGTTCATCTCGAATTGATCGTCGTGGTAGCTGGACCGTCTACATAGTGCTACCAGGTGAAACAGGGCACCGGGCGGTTGCACTGACACAGTACAAGCTACTTACACTGTGTCACTAAGTCTTGATGCACCACTTTCACCGTGTCCAGTGGGTGCATCGAGCCTTCACCTACATATACGTGCAAAGGAAGGCTTCAATAATAAAATAGGGCGAAAGGCAAAAACTGGAACTGTATTTATAATAGTGATTCTTCAGTCCAGAAAATTCATATTTTATAGAACAATGCCTTGGTATGAATGTGTTTAGAAACTATATGCTCACCCCTTATTGCAGACGTCTGTCGTGGCACGTCATTAGTGGTCGAATCATGAATTTTTACCCTATGAGCAGAGTTTTGCTACTGCTGCTGCTAGTGTCGGCTAAAGCTTTGAGAATACGATGCATTGATAACTGAATAATCACACTTTACACGTTCTTATGGTAAAAATTTATGTAACGGACAACTCCCGTTACAACAACGTAGCAGAGACCGAGAGATCCCCTGTATTTTTGTTAAGGCGTATTCCATGTCATTTAGTCTACCCCTTGTCTTTTTTCCAAAGATCCCCTCCTTGAATACCTGAAGCAGCGAGCGATACCATGTAAGGCGCCAGCATCAATGCTTCCAGTCCAGTAATTTTTTACGACAAATTCTCTTGTCCAAAAACTTCACTCTTCTAATTATCTCCCTGACTTTGAACTTCTTCCGTAGTCTTGTATTTGATTGGATACGGTTTTACACGGCCCTCTGACTTCAGCTCCCAGCTCTAGCTGATAGTTGAATAGTTGCTACAGATAGTGCTTCCACATACTTGCACGATGGCGATCTTCACCACTATACAAGTATGTGGAAGAATTTTACTGGAGTAAATGTTCAGCTTCAATCTTTGCCGGTCTTGTGGGAACCATACAAGCGCCTCTGCAAGCAGTAATCCACTCACACATCGTGAGTCCTTAAATCTCGATGTCTGCGTATTTCGAATTTAGAAGACATAAATTGCCTGCAGTTAATCATGAGCGATCCGAGTATTCACTGAACCTCTTAGTCGCTACTGTAAGACAGATATAGAGAGATGTAGATCTCGTCAGGTAGCCCAGCCACCGAGTACCATGTGCTTCTAGCATTACAAAGCTGTGTGACTTGGTGAAATGCATCCTAGCATAAGTTCATACGATAGTAGCAGACGCTAGTCCATCGCAACGGTCGGACAAAAAGCGTTAAACTATCCTGGTCCGTCGGATCGACCATGCGCATCGAAAGTGTCCGCCACTTCCTTTTGGAACCACTCTAAATGGTCATCATCGAATAATTACAAATGAAGATTGAAGAGACAGCATTCCTTATTATCTACTAGCACTTAATTTTAATGAATGTACTCGTCCTCATCGACCTATTGCGTCCCAAAAGTTGTTGTTGTTGTAATTGCAGCTTGTCGAAAGACAAAATGTTGGACATTGCGTTGACAAGGTATGCTTTTGTGCATCGGTAACGGTGATAAACAGCATACCTACATGTCCATGATTACTTACCCGACCACGCTATCATTGTCGCGACTGAACATGCGATGCCGTCAAAATCCGAACACGTCTTCGGTATAAGTATTTTCGAAAGGGAGTGGATGTCAACCATTTGCATGCCACTTCGGCAACATGTCAAGATAACAGTTGATCGTCGACGGAAAAAAATTCCGGTGGGGACTTGTGTAGGCGACGTTCGACTTGTCGGGTCACATTATAATAAATCACTGGTTCAACAACTTGCGATCTATTGCCGAAAGCCGCATACAGAGGAGACAAGGCAACATTCGTTCATGACATGACTGCACGGACCTACAAGCACAAATTATAAGATGTACGCGCTAGAGGCCGATGTTAAAGGAACAAGCAACCGGAAGTCTGTGCCTCTAAGTCGATTCCAAATGCGCTATAATGACAACGACGCCTGTAAGCTGTCGTTAGCTTGTTAATCGATAATCTGAACGAAAACTACGATCTTTCTCCACGTATATTGCAGGATATAATGGGTCGCACGCGTACCTTAATAAATCTCACCTTCTCACTCACTCCACGTATGTGCCAACATACGCAAGTGCGCACAGCAGCTTGCGGCGTAGGTGATCACGATACGAGACAAAAAAGCCCAGAATTTACGAGGATGTTGCAGTCCTTTGTTTCGCAGAACAACCTTTGCTGACGCTGACAAGTCCACCGACTAGCAAACAGATGGTGCAAGGTGTTTAGAACCACATAAACCACTGTATTGGACCGCAAATGCTGCGAGTGCTCTCACGATGAATCAAATGCAGAGTAAGAGAGAGGGAAAACGATGCATATCAGTTATCGTCTTGAAACAGTTCTTATGTTCCTCCGTTTATAATTGTCATTTAAGTCACCGAGTGACCACAGCGACCCCCGACAGAGTTCACAGCCTAGCCATACGAGCCAAGGCGTGATTGATGCAAGGAGGCGGGCAAGTCGTTCTTGATCAACTTTGAGAGGAGACACCCGAACCAGCAGGAAAATGTGCAAATTTACTTCACGTCTGACGAGAGGATGGCGTACATAGGCTTACCCATGAGTGTGTGCGGCTCGTCATCCAGCCTATATGTCAGTGCAGTGACCAAGCAAGTACTGTTGTCGATACAAATGGCACAAGAGACGCAGAGAGATTTTGCGGGGGCTCTTTTTGCCGACGTACACACCTTTGAGCTGAATGGTACAGTATGAATGCCGTGGCGCTCATTTCTCAGTCGCATTTACGTGACCACATTTGTTCCTACATGCAGTATAAAGCTAGAGTAACAGGCACGACTAGCGCCATAACCGTAGAACCAGGATGGTGTCGAATAGGCCCGCCAAGAGATTGGCCATTGCCAGAAAGGTACTGACCATCGACGGAAGTTCCAATGTTCAAACACGGCGAAAATGCTCGCCATTGTAGCTGAACAGGTCAGTTTTGTGCCAGTACCGGCTACTAGAGAAGTCCAATTGTCTTGCAAGTCGAATGGGGGGGAGAAGAGAATTCATGACCGTCTATTATCGTATGATTATGCACAAGATCTCAGAAAACTTCCAAGCTAGGACAAAGGCTCCGGAATCGGTAGCATGTCGTGGCTGTCTTTTGAAGAAATCGACCCGTCTCGAGGTTCGAGAGTAAAGAGGACGATACAAGTACGCATAATAGCCCCGGCAATAGCTGTATCGGGACCGCGATGTTTGCGATTCGCTAACGCTATTAGATGATGAATTTCAAGCGCTTTAATCGCGCGGCGCTGTGAAGAGCCGTCGACTGCGCTCCTCGAAAAACCGCGTCGTTCCGCTCACTCCATAAGTGGGCAGACAAACGCTGCTTAACATAAATCAAGGACGCTTCCAAACCACGACACCCGCCTCCCAGTCCTCCGTGAGCTAATGGTTGACTCGAAGACGCTGCCTGACCGGTAACACCGGCGACTTGCAAGTCGAATGGAGTTGGACCTGCTGATTTTTTATAAACTTTGAGCGGGCGCGTTGCCTTGTTTTTACGAAGATCAGAAGTGTGCAGAGGTTCAACTGAATAGTTTCGTCATGATTTTGACACGATCCATGTTGGCACAGGACTCTACCACCAGACGCAAGTAGATTTAGTTGTGCGATTCCCGCGTCAAAGCAGCAGCATTAGTGATTGAGAATGGCTCAGGGGCGTCGTACGGCGACAAGCAAAATGAAACAATGTATCACTATACTGCTGTCGTGCACGATACTTTCCGAGATCCCCACAGTTCTTTTACTCGTGCAAATTCTAGATGATGAAAATGAGGCGCACGGAAAGAAATTGCTACATTTGTAGCTCATCTGCTAGACGACGCTAGCGGTGAACGAGTGGCACTGTAGCAAGAATTGCATACATCACTGCAGCTTCCGCAGCTAGTGATGTGGAATAAACTCCACCTTACACGAAAAGCCAGTTTCTTTGCCTTCAATGCTTTTGACCGCAAGTAACTCGTTTTGTATGCCCGAAGGCCATTACGAGGGTGTGTGCACGGAGCTCTAGCTGCTGGTGTGATTCTAGATTATACTCAGCTGCAGAAAACATGCTTCTAGATTGGACTCAGCTGCACAGGACCTACTGCAAGTACCATCATTACTACCTCAACTTGCCACGTCTTTTCTCCTGTCCATTAACAAACTACGCCATGCTGATGGTAACTCAGATCGACTCAGATGAACCACATGAGGCGTCTATATGCCGTCTACAAACAACGTTCGATGGTTAGTAGGTACATCACGCAGCGTGTTCAAAATAGTTGACTAGCGTTCATTGTTTAGTCCTGAGGTTGCGCGGTAGAAAAAGAGTCTGAACTGTATCGCCGTCGCCACTTGTGTCTCGTGACCGCGAATAAATAGCGAAAGTTTCGCGTAGAGTCGTGCAAGTCAACATCGTGATAGAAGCGTGTGTAGGTGGAGTCGGCAGTATGAACCATAGAAAAAGTCAGATGTGCGCCGTGTAGACGAAATGCTTCTTCATACACGACCGCTCCCCCGCCGGTCGATTGGGCGAGATGATCACTTCGTGCAGCTCGACGTTCTTGGGTCTTCCGGTCTTCCACGTTTTAACAGCGACCAGAACGGCCACTACTACTGCGATGCCTCCAACCGTTACGGTGAGAATTCCTCCGTTAGTAGCAGATGTGAGAGAGCTCCTGGCGTCAGTAGCGGCGACCGTAGAAAGTCGCACCAGGACAGCGACGAGAAAGGTGATTGCGAGCTTAGTAGCCGGCATACTAGAAGCAGTAGGAGCGAGCTTGTGGTGAGGCACGACGAAATGGCGAATGAACTTCCTTCTTTCTTGCTCTTCGGGTCACACATCAATCGGGCGATCGTTATCCTGTATCAGATTGAAGAATCCGAACTTGATGTTTGTATGGACGCGTCGTTTTTGCAAATGTCTGAACTATATAACGCGTTCGAGACAATCGCCAGTTTAGGGCACGCACTGTCGTTACTTGACGGAATATAGGCAGCGACAACGGCTCGATCGCCGTCGCATTGAGGGAAGTGCGGACTTGCGTGCTCGACATTCACGCCTTGGCGACCGACCAACCGACCGCCCCTCTCGGGACGTTCTTCGGACCAGACAGACAGACAGTCGTGTATCAAGGAGCTCTAACGGAGGCGCTAGATAAAGTCCATTGACCCTAATGAACGCCCGTCCGACATAGTGTGTGTAACGATCGCACACAAAAAGAAGAACGTTTGACAAAACGTGAATAGAAGACTCTCTTAGCCACGACGACCTATACTTTCGTTTTTATAGGCGTGTTTGCTCCTGCCTTACCCATTTATGCAACTAGCTGCGACTTTCGAGCAACCGATGTCACCCTGTATGACCCAAATGCTCGTTTTGGAGTCTTTAACTCGTTTTTGGTACATTCGTGCAAGATAAATATGCAGTCGAATGAAGCACCTTTTGACATCCGCCGTATCGACCAGCTGCTCGTATATCGACGGTGGAAGATAACAAAGATGGGCGCGGGAACTACAGGGATTCTCAGGCAGCTGCTCTCTCCCCCCAGCCTGAGACCAGCTGCAATGTGGCGCAGCCCGCAGGCTCTTTTTTCGTGGCAAGATGACAAATGGCGGAAGAAGTGTCTCGACGATCGAGTAACTCTTTCTGCGCAACTTCAACGTCTCAGCTTCTTTCCAGATTCGACTGCACCTTTCACGATGAGGGGTCTCTGTAAGTAGCATGACGTACAGGCATAACAGTTCGTCTTTCTGTATCAAAGTTGACCGTGCACTTAGTTCGAAAGGAAGAGCCACTCGTTTGTTGCAAGTTTACGACGAAGTGAATGGGTATTATGAATGCAAACGTAGTTTGTACTGTACCAGCTCGCAAATACAACAGCACAATGTATAACCGCTTTCAGATCCAGCTAATGCACCGTTTGAGGCATGCATGCTTCAAGATACCTCTGCCTCTTTACTAGTCGACAACATGGCGCAAGGCTGTACTGAAGTACGATATCAATACTTGGCGTCGCCAAACGAACGCGGATTGATTAGACTACCAAGACGCTACACGATTACGGTACAGTGCTATTTGGTTCATTCGATCGTAGTTGTGCAAGAACTGTAGGAAGTATAAAGATCTGCATTGTAGATTCCATTGCAAATATCCAGCATAGTGCAATAATGACGTCGACCTCATGCAGGTCTCGGCAGCAGCAGGTGATAATGAGAAGACGCTGTATGCGCAAAGCCGCGTATTTCATCAGGTATCGTTAGAGCGTCGGTCGGCGTCGAGGAGTAGTTTTTCTCACGCACATTTCAACCTTCGCTAGAACCAGGTGAATTGACGCAACGAGGAGGCTGGTCGGCGGCTTGCACCGCAACACAAGGTTCTTTGATGACATGTCTTGCTGTCGTACAAGAGGGAGTAGACTTGTATACGCTTGCATGAGCTCTCGACTCGTAAAGGTTGCTGTATAATCCGTTCGTATTTAGCTTCATTTCAGTAGCGCAAACAACTGATCGCGAGTAAGTATCTCGGCAACCACACCCGCTATTTCGGAGCGAGCAAGTGTCTTTACGATGCCGACAATATGAGCGAGGATCGTTGCATCTGATGAATTTGAGACAGCTACTGGTGCGTGCATTAGCTACATATGTCAAAGCCAGTTGTTTTAGTGGTATATGCGAGTGTCATTATCAGAAGCTTTTGGATCGAACTCGCCCTCGTATCGTATGGTCTGTTTAGTTCTCAGCGTCAGTAGAAACAGCCTACATTCCAATGTCTCACCTGCTCAGGTCCTGTGTGCGATCTTGCAGCGCTGACAAAACGCCTATTGGTTTTACATTACCAGACGTTTAGCTTGTCTCGGTCATGTCCCATGTATTACAGCAGGGAATCGTCCAGAATGGAAGGCGGTCAAGAACGTGTGCACATTTGGCTGCACCTACCGCAGTATCTGCGCTTAGCTCTAGCTTAACGTCTCTTGTTTCCGATTCTTCGTACTCGAATGGTGCGTGGCGTGTTCTCTGTACGTAGCAATGAGGGCGCAAAATGGAGACTTGAAGTGATCGTGCGCCTTGGGTGCGTACATCGTAATTGAGTGGGTCATATGGGAGTGGGCTCCAACGTAAGACATAACACCACTACTGAAGCTGTATGTGGATAAATCAGTCTGCCGGCAACCATGCAACACCCTCCGATTCTAGAACGCGCTTGTAGTGGTGCAGCGGGCTTCAATTCCGCTAAAGCTAACTAAGGGATACTTGTGCAAGCAACAGCACCTTCGCATGCCCGGTTTCGAGCAAGTCGTTCGCAGTAGAAGGAGTCGTATTGTCCTACAATACCAAATGAAGTAAATTCTTTTGATGCCTGATTCCCAGTCCTCAACTTATAGAATGAGCTACATACACGACAGTGCAACACGGACTACTTAAATGTCGGCACTCGCTGTCTGCATCGTAGCTTCCATATCCAGCTACAGAAGTACAGGTCGAACGCCACGTCAATTAAAGCTTAGTCGACACACTGATGCACCTCTTTTTGCTTCCTTGCTTGGATCGAGCGCGGCGTAACTCCGAAATCCAATGTGCACTCAGGACCCACGTAGATCGCTTGATAAAGCAAAGAGAGATCAGGACCGAGAGTCTGGGTTGTCAGCTGACAAGCAAATCGGTCATGTTGTGTCGGGAAGTGCCGAAATCTACGTCCGTCTTGGTCTGTGTAAGCTCTGCTTCATCCATTACCATGGGATTTTGCAACAAGAAGATCTGCCAGCGGCGCCGTCGGCAACGATACGCTGTTTTGACATGCACGAGTCGTTCAAATCGATTACCATGGCGTACCATTGCGTGATTCGAACGCTTGTGCAAATTAATAGTCGAGCTAAATGTGATCCTGAGCTCCTTCCCGCATAGGCTGTCGAAGAGTCAATCAGGAAAAGGTCACCATGACAAGCAACTTTGTGCTTGTAATCAGGTTGTGATTCAAGTTGCCAAGTATCGATGCGAGTTGCGAGTCACCCTACAGCCGGGTATTTCTCACCGTCAGTGGTCTTGAGCACCCGGCTGATGTGCAGCTTTGTGGTAATGTCCATGTGACCTGCGTTCGAGGAAGCCGCCTGACAGTAAATTGTATACTTTGGCGCGAAGGCCTGCTTGACTTTTCAGTATTGCCACACCTTTCAGTGTATCTCAGGATCAGCTCGTGGACCAATTTCCCCGCGAGCTTACGGCAACGATGAAGATGGTGCAGCGCTGAAGTTAAAAGCGAATTTTGATGATGATTGATAAGATAGCGGCTTCGAAATAATGACAAGATAGTGTGGCAGATAAGTGCTCGTCGTGCGGCCGAGTGGATGTAAGTAGTCGACTGAAGGTTTGTTGGATGCAACGTCTACCACTTGCTGTCTGGTGGTAAGTGTAGAAAGAATGTTTGCATCCAGGGCAATACATGACCTGATAGAACTACATTACACCAGTAGATTGTTGACCTGAGACTTTATCAGATATGATTGCGCGATCGACACACGATCGAAAGCGCTTAGTAGTACACTTGTACCATGATAAAAGAGACGATCAGGTACTGCGTCTACTAGGTCTTCGCTCGAACATCGATATATTCCACTCTAGCAGTAGACCACAACGAAGTGTCCCCATCCGAAACATAGGACATTCTGAGTAGACTAGCTTGACTCTTGCAAGTTTCTCTGGAGCACTGTAAACCAAAGACGCACGAAGACGCTGCAATCAACATGATTTTGTACAAGCTGGACATGGATATTGAGCACGAAAATAGGTGAAGGAAGCACGAGGTCACGAGGAACAACTCGGACCACACGCATCTACTTGCCTTGAACAAGTGAACGGGAAGTATGCTAGCCTGATCTGTATCGATGGCATCTGTGAGACGGTAACATATCTATCGCTTATAGGTCCAGGGATCGGAAACGATATTGTGAATACAACTTTGAAAGCCGACCTCTTCCTCCTTGACCCCTTCACGCTTGTTTGAATATAGGAGGACGAACCTCCCTAGAAATGGAAAATCTAGAAATAATGAAAGCGAATGTCTTGTGGGAGGATATCTTGACTTTCACAGTACTTGCAAGAAATCTGCCAAGTCTAGCTCATGTAAGTTATAGTGCAGAAGGCGAAAGAGGACGAGGACATCGACAGCTACGAGAAAACAGGAGGTCTAGCAATTGTCTACTATTGTAGGACACAACGAAGACATGTAGTCGGCCACTGCAGTAGATCCGCATTACGTTGTGAAAAATAACTAAAGCACGAATCATAAATTTGTCACCATGTCGAGCTGCGGTATCCGGTGCGGACATGGAGTTACGGCATCGTTTATTCTACGTTCATGACGGAGACGCACTCCATCTTAATGGTGCTGCACTCCAGATACATTTTGTTTGCTCCGGATAATAACTGAGTTACTCATCGTTAACGTGCCACGTACCACTCCACGTCTGCATTGACATCTGCACCCCGAATGACAAGTGGCATAACAAGACACAGCTTGCCTTACAATAAATAGTAGCAAAGTCCGCACCTGGCAGAGCTGCAGTACAGGTCGTACGCATTCGGACCTGGAGAATGACGAGCGCCTAAAGCTTAAGCATTGAGTAAAACGAGAGACCTTTGATCACATGTCGCGTGCTGTTCAGCTGTTGGGTTGCTCAGGCGCTATCCATCGAAAAAATGGTCGCTGATAAAGCCGATTCTAATACTCGTTGGCGTCGGCTGTGGATGTTGAATGTGACCTGACGGCAAAACGAATGAATCTACAGAGACAGTTAGAATCCCAATATTCTACCCTTGCAGCTGATTGCTTGAAAAACCAGATGCTGGTGATGGCGACAATTGGCGTGACTCCTACGAATCTGCACTTTGCTGGACACAAATCAATCCTTGACTTACTGCTTTCGACCCGCATGAACGGTGCAAATTGTATTTGCATACTAGAACCACTTCTTGCCCGGTCACTCCTGCGTCAGCTTGCTCACTGACGCTGCCTCGCTAAAACTCGTTGCATTCTGCAGACACAACGTGCGATTGATACAAGATCATAAACCTTGTAATGTCTCGTTTTGTAAGTCGCACCTCCATCGACTGATCGTATCGGGTGCATCTTCCTTTGGATTTCGTAGAGTATTCCTTTGTGCAAAAGATAGAATCGCACAAAAGGTTTCTCGTGCGATTAATGACGATGCGCTTACATTTCCCCGTACAGCGCCATAAGCGCGTATGATTTCACTAACATGCACACTCCAGGTGAATGAATGAGCGATGGTAAATGAACGTGATTCGGGCTGGTCAAAAGCTACGCGAATCATGTCAGTTTTGCTGAACCCATCCACCGTATGCGTCAATCTCTGTGGCTTGTGTTTCTGCCACAGTACACATAACCCCTCGCATTGTGTAGGCGACCGACGCACTTGCGCCATCATTTAGCTGTTCATAAGATCTCTTTGGTCGCGTGCAGCCCGTGTGATCCGGTCATTTTCGATTCATAGCGCAGTGCTTTATTTGGCCACCTATCGTTGCGCTATGTACATGGTCAGCATAGCGTTCAGCACTCGCACATTCCAGACCGAGCGATTAGACTGCGTAGCGCTACCAATCCCCTCCGCTGAAATCACATCTGAAAGTTGTTGTGACATCGACTTCAACTGCTCTGATAGTGGTGCAGAACAAGTGACCGGCCATGCGTTCAACTTGCAACTTGTGTATAGCAGCAGCATGGTCTAACGGTCCTTCGTTAATGGTAGTACGTCTTCACTTGACCATGCCCTCGCTAACTTGGCACTCGAATGTTCAGAGACGTGGTCCTTCCGTTGCATTCTATTTAAGTGCAGACCACGGCTAGGCTGGTCTGTCTTCTCACGTCAAAGTCTAAGCAAGGGAGGTGCTGGGGCCTCGTGCATGAGTTCTCTGGCCAATACCAACAACATTCGATCAAGTTATTAAACACCATTCGACAGTCAAACCAGACACACCAGCATCTCGGTATCTCGACTTTGTCCACCGTCAGATCGCACATATCGCTTGGCTAACACCTTCCACCTCGTAACTTCTACTCGTAAAGCCGCTGGAGGTGCTGGACGATCAAAAGAGGCGCTTCACCTATACTTGTCGCCCGATGACCTTGTCTTGGTCAGCATATACATCATGTCTACGTTGGCGGCACTAGTCGGCTCGAGCGATGGTAGCTTTTGCTCATCACCGAAAACGCAAACGAGACCATTCTTGCTGCTGCTTGTATCGATTTGGTTCGGAGCAACAACAAAGAACAGTGACACGTGCGTGTTCTCGTCGAGTTTCAAACTGACGCAGTACGCGTCTCAAAGACTGGACTACGAATGCTATGGCTCCCATGCTAGGAATAAACGACAGGATCACATCAAGGGTCGCACTCTACAACGCCGACCGATCGCTGTCGGTTTCTAGGGTCTATGACCGTTCACTTCTCAGTGTTCAAGACCCAATCGGCAAGTATCAATTACGAACACCAGCTAGGCCCCCGGGTTTCTCAATCTAGCTGCGAACACAAGCAAAGAGCTGTCCAATTTGCATAAAACACCTTCAGCACCTACAACAATAGAGCATCGGATGACCGAGGCACGAGAACATGCACCTCTTGCAGTCAGTCTACTGGACCACGCCTGGTGACGTCTCGGCGTTCTTTCTAAACTGCCGAGTGTCGTCAGCCTCCCCCTGCCCTAGAGCAAGCATGCATCTTCGAATACCCCGTCATACCCGATCTCATGCAAGAAAGGCGACACGGTCTCATACCCTCGTTCTTGCCGCGCGTCCTCCACCTGTAGAAACACATACTGCCTCGTCTGCACGCACGTTGTCCCAACGCCACCGAATCGCCCAGTTTACGTCACTGACGCACATGTCTATCGTCCAGTCGCACGCGGCGTGTAACGCTCGTCCGGCTTCTCCCGCACAAAAAACAGCCACGCTGGCGAGCCGGGACGAAAACGTCACGGGCGACTTTACGCTGCCCAGCGACACGGCACTTTTGCTTCCTCTGTCCTTGGCCGCCGCTCCTCCTTCGGGCATGCAAAGGTAAAGACGACAAAGTGTCTTGACCAACGCAACCCGTCGCTTCAGCGCTCCGTTCGAAACGGACAACTCACACAACAACCGAGTACTCACTCACTCTCGCCTCTCCTCCCTATACTCAGTCAGCACTCTCCCTCTTCTTTTCAGCGTCTTGCAGCTGATTCGATTTGCTTCCAAGAGCTACGTTTGCAGTCCAGTGTCGCAGACAAAAAAGAGTCGTCAGGAATTTTCGAGCCTTACGTTCCATGGCCGCCACCAACTGGCACGCACCTGAGGGACTCAGTGCCCTGCCTGAAGACGAGCGGCAGTACGACCAAACGCCCCTCACTTCTCACCAGTACCACCAACAGCTCTCGTCGGCCGCCGCGCCCGGCAAGAACTTGCTCTCGCCCGCTACGATGAACGTCCAGAACGCCATCAGTGAGCTCACGAAAGTCAAGGAACGCGAAGACCGGGGCAAGATCTCGGTGCACGGATGGATGCACAAACAGGGCAGTCGCAAGTTCAAAGGCCCCGTGGCCAAGAGCTGGCGCAAGCGCTACTTTGCCCTGGAAGGAGCCAAGATGTACTACTTCCACAACGACGTTGACTGTCGCAAGTACTTTAACTCGCGCAATGGCGACTTGGTCGTGGGGGCCGTCGACTTGCGCGACGCGTTCAAGCTCGAACAGAGTGAACGACTGGACTTACCGGCTCGGGGGATTGTCATCCACACGCGCCATCGCGCGTGGCTCGTGTGTCCCGAGACGGATCAGGACTTTCGCATGTGGTTTGACGCCCTGGAGTTTACCGTCATGTCGGCGGGGTCCGGGAACGTCGTCAAGCGGGATTTGCCGAACGTCCGGGTCTATGAGATGAAGGGCCGGTTCAGTTACCGCTTCTGGTACGTCATCTTTGTGATTACAGCACTCGTGGAACTAGCAGCGATTGTGCTGTGGTTCCCCTTGGGGATCGAACCTTGTGACCTCAAGTTCAAAGGCGACACGTGTGAAGAGATTCAATTGCTCTACGCTGACCCGCTGCAATGTGGCGACAAGCCATTTAATGGCATGTGGAACCCTCCCGAATGGTACCATTGGTCGGCCGGGATCAAGTCGGTCCAGTGTTTCAAGGAACCGTATATCACCGACTGGGTCTCGTACTTTGTCTTCTATCTGGCCGAGTTTATCAGCATTACACTCGGATCACTGTACTACTTGGGTATGTGGAAACCCGTCCGTCGAGGAGCTCGGTACCTACGTGACTTTGAGCCGCACTTTCCTCCTGAAAAGGTAAGAAACAGCACACTTCACATTTTTTGGGGTGGGGTGGATGAGGATATCTTCTCTCTATCTATTGAACCCTTTCGGCGAGTTGCATGTATTGATTGGTACTGACGTGATGTGTTGGTATTCGTCATGATGTTGCAGTGGCCGACTGTCGATATCTTGCTGTGTCACTACTCGGAACCAGCAGATGATACCATTGCGACGCTCGAGAAGATCATGAACTTGGATTACCCGCCGCATCTTTTCCACGTCTGGATCTGTGACGATGGGTATTGCAAGTCCAAATGGGATACTGGAGCTCTCGTACCGAAAGTCAGTGTCAATACGGGAGTGATTGAGAATGCCGGTGATGTTCGTCACGAGGTGGCGCAGTTCATGTACGACCGCGTGTGTGAATCCTATGAGCTTGAAGTGGACGAGTGGCGAAAGGAACACACGACAGTCAAGATGCCGACAGACGCGAATCCGCGCTGTGTCAATCGGGTCGACTGCTCGGTTGGCTCAGTGCGAGACGACTATTTCTACCACGGCTTCCCTAAGCTGACGTTTGTAGGCCGCATCAAGCCAGCTGTGCACCACTCGAAGGCTGGCAATATCAACAATGTGCTCTACAATGAAGGTGCTTGTGGTCGTTATGCTATCATTCTGGATAACGACATGAAGCCGCACGAGATGTTTATCCAGGCCACGCTTCCGTTCTTTTTTGACGCGCCTCAGAACACCAAGATCACACACTGTAGTGCTCCTGGCTGTGGTGACATTGGAAAGATCTGTTGTGCACTGTGCCAAGCTGCGGGTGTGCCTGAAGCTCAGATCATGTACTGCTCGAAGGATTGCTACAATGCATCGGGCCACGTCAAGTCAAGTGTCCACCGCCGTCAGACGCAGAACACCATGTCGGAGCGTATGATGTGTGCTAGCTGTGGTGGCAAGATTAACCAGTCGAAGGGGTTGTGCCGCAAATGCAATCGTGCAGTTAGTCGACGTAACAGCAAGCAGTTTGTTGGTGTGTCGGCCGATGATTACTCGGACCACGTTTCGGTGAACCAAGTTGGCTACGTGCAGACCCCGCAATACTTTGAAGACTGTCTGCAGCTGCGTCTCGGTGACGCCTGTTGTCACCGAAACTCGACGTTCTTTGATTCAGCGCAGACTGGTATGGACGGATACGATTGTGCCTCTTTTGCGGGCACGAACGCTATCTTTCGTCGGGAAGCTCTGGACTCGGTGTGTGGCGTTCAGTACGGCTCGTTGACGGAAGATGCTTTCACGGGCAAAATGATGGTTGACAAGGGATGGAAGGGCTACTACTTCCGTAAGGATCTCGAAGGTGAGGAGGCTGACCGTATCCGTCTTGCTGAAGGTGCCGTGCCGGAATCTGTAGCTGCTGCTCTGGCCCAGCGAAAGCGATGGGCGAAGGGCAATTTTCAGATTTTCCTGCGCAACAAGAAGAGTTTGGTGGATCCCGAGTGGCCGCAACCCGAAGTGGAGCTGCCACCGAAACGCAAGATCAACAAGTTCATGCGCTGGGTGTTCTTCATCAATCTCACCGTGTACCCGATCGGATCGTTTCCAGCCATTTTCTTCTTCTACGTCACGACGTATTTCCTGTATACTGGCCAAGCTCCGATCTACACGTCTGGTTTGCGTCTACTGATGGCCCTTGTGCCGAAGATTGTGGCACAAAGTATACTGTCGGCTTTGTCAAACCGCACGGTGGATAACGATGATGTGCTGCGGAGTCAACAGACGTGGTTTTCGTACGCGTTTGTGCACGTCATGGCTGTTTTTGAGACCATCTATTGGAAGTTCACGGGCAAAGAGGCGACATGGGCCAATACTGGTGCTCTCGGTGGCAACAGCATCATGGAGCTACCGAACTTGATTGTGTTCATGGTCATTGTCTTTGGTATGCTGTGGGATTCGGTGCGCTTTTTCGCGGGTTATAACACTGCGTCTACGACCCACGGCACTCCGCTCTTCTTCGCTTCGTTGTACTTGGGTGGGTTTATCGCCAATCAATTGTGGCCCATGGTGCGGATGAGCGTGCAGACTTACTTTGGATGGAGTCACAAGAGTTTGACGGATCAGGGTAACATCGTCGGCAGCTTCTCGCTTGCTTGTATGCTCTTTATCCTTTGTATCTGGGTGTACGTCGAATCGCCGAACCGATCCATTTTCGGATGATAGCTGACTGTTATCTAGCGAAAGTTGGTGACAAGACAGTGGAGACGTCGATATGAATGCAGCTAGCTTAGTTCGTGAGAGAATGTACATGTCGAGAGCTGTCCCTCTCGTCTCGCTTGGTGACGAAATCGTTGAATATACGCGTGTAAGGCATTTCGTTCGCTTTTCTACCTCATGAGCGGTCCGTGAACTTTTTTCACGAGAGAACAGGTGTAAGATGAATGAAATAACTACGTCGAGACTGTAGTTGCTTACTCTCGGCACTTCTTACGTTGGATATATCTACAATTTCTTCATGCGTAATCGTCGTACTACGTTACCTACGACGCAGGTACTAATTGTATGCTATTTTTCTCTGCACGACGGCGATCAAACAGGCACAAAACTACGAGCGAAACGACAACTTCGATGTCTCCTGTAGAGAAAGCACATAAGGACTGACTTGGACAATACAGCCAAGACACAGATTAAACCGTTGCAGGTATAAAAAGCTAACAAGAGTAATTGCTCGTTTATCTTCTGCTCTTCCTGTGCGAATCGCACAATTGATTAGTTCGATAGTACACATGCTAAAGCCAATCAATCAATAGGTCGAATGACGCACCGGCATTTGGGCGCACGCACACGTGTCAGGCCAAGAAGCGATGTCTAGCTAGGGAAGAAGCGAGGTACGTCTGTCGTGTCGTCGATCACAACCCGCTTAGAGAGACAGAAATGATGATGGCCAATTCAGCTGCAGATCTCGAGGACACGATCTTCGCAAGTATACGCCGGGAGAGGACGTAGGCGACATGACTGGAAAAGGTCCTTGATGTCGTGTCGAGAGGACGTTTGCCTCAAGGAAGCGGCACTGCGACAAGTGCAGTAAGTCAACGACACTCCGGCAGTTCTTGATGTTCAAGTAGACTAGAAGGTACGTGGGGCTACAACCTTCACCAATTCACCAAGACACCGTCTCTTCGTGATCTCGTCCTCCAGAAATCGTACAGGAGCTACGTGCTCGACATTTTAGGTGCAACACGTTGCACGATTAGCGACGACAGGTACCCACCATTGCCCACTCGTAAGCTTGACAAGTCCATGACGAGTGATCATTGAAGATGCAATGAAGTCAGACACAACCTATGCACGATCTGCGTGCAAGAAAATCCACAAAGGACTCGTGTCCAATTGTCAAGGTCGTGATTGCGACAATAATTGAATCTGGTCCAAGTATCGCATCACCGATGCGATGGACGAGACATCAACAACCATGATAGCGCCACACCCGAGTCCGAATGCTCGTCTTTTTGCGTATACCGTCATGATGTTTACTCCGCATACAAGCCACTTACAGATGCCCCGATGTTGTCGTCATCATAGATGTTGGTTACGGGGTGGGCTCTTTGCTGTCAGTCCAGTGTCAGCTCTAAAGAGCTCCTCGCAGTTCTAAAGAGCTCTTCCGTGCTTGCACGTCCTAAATTCCTCGTGGTTCTCATAATCAAGCAGGTCATCGTTCAGCAACAATAGGACAGCAAGCAGGGACTTCACGCACGCACAGTCAACGACTCGCAGTCACTTTGTAACTTGTGCATCTTCCAGACTTCAGCATGGATAGTGCATCATCGTCAACTGCTAATCCTGACGTCAGAGTCCAACGCCTGGCTGGCAGTGTTGAAGCCAGTTCTCTTTGTAGATCAACTGGTCTCCACCGAACGACAGACGTCGACGTGTTTCAGGGACCAACAAAAAGTCTCGAGAAGCTGGTAATCCAAAGACCTGGGTCAAATTGAAGGTCTCCATTGATTCATTCCAGCTTTTGCTTCACACCCCACGCATCGATCAGTCCATCGCCCACTGAACTTCCGATGAAGATCCTGGTTCCCGCCATTGCTCTCGCCCTCGTGGCAACATTGTCGTCGACGGCTGCTCAACGCTTTTGCGGACAAAACGATCAGAAGGCCCTCCCCCCCTACACGGTCTACAACAACCTGTGGGGTCAAGCCAATGATCCAAAAGGTACCCAGTGCACGGAAGCCACCCGTGTTTCGGACAACGCTATAGCCTTCACGACAAAGTTCACGTGGACCGGCGGCCAATACCAGGTCAAGTCGTTCGCCAATGCAGCACTCACGTTCGCGCCCGTGAAGATGTCCCAGGTGAAGAGTATGCCGACGGAGGTTCAGTACGAGTTCAAGGAGACCGACAACTCCCTCATCACCAACTTCGCGTACGACATGTTCTTGAGACCCGATCCACAAGCGAATAACAAGTACGAGGTGATGGTGTGGTTGGCCACTTTTGGCAATGCCGCGCCTTTGGCCGATAAGTATCCCGCGAAGCCCATCAAGGAGAACGTGAAGGTGGGGGGTGTCACGTTTAACTTGTACAAGGGAATGAATGGGAAAGTCACAGTCTTCACGTTCCTCGCGACGGTGAATACCAATCGGTTCAAAGGAGACTTGAGGAACTTCTTCACGCAGCTTCCGGACCCGAAACTTCTCGACGACCAGTATTTGGTCAAAGCCGAGACTGGCACGGAGCCTTTCCAGGGACATGCCGAAATGGTCGTGTCGAAGTACTCGCTTGAGATCATCTCGTAATCCAGCAACGCATTACGAGCCCACCCTCGGACCTTGCCTTCCGCTTGCGAAACGGCAGGAAAGGTGACGCTGTGGTTGATCCGAAGTCTCGGTCGTCGCATCTGCGAAGCTTGGGTAACTGCCGGGAAGACTTGCTTTTCTTCTAGCATTGACCAGTTTTCTTAGTGGAGACCGTTGAAGGTTGTTTTTCTGTTGCATACGAGTTTACCTTCTTTACTTCAACTGTTCAAATTGTTTGCTCGGTCCACTCGCCTCCTGACATCCGAGATGCAGTCATGACCTTACGGGATACAATTGATTACAACGTAGCTAAAGGTCAAAGCAAAGGATCCCAAAGGGTTCGCAGTCGTTGCTATAATGGGGTGAGCCTGTTGCATCGGATTGGGGAGCAAGCTCCGGAGCTGACCCTTCGATGTATGTAATCCAGTTCGGAGAACTTAAGCTGTAAAACACTGTACAACAGCAGCTGTCACTGAAGAAGGAGTGTGATGATATTAACGTCAGTATTGACAGAGTTGGCTCAGGCAACGCGATCGTCTCTGCTTAAATGCGTCCTTTGTTTGTCGATGTGATCATATTAATCTTTGGTCAATTTTTAGCCAATCCCGTGCGTGCGTGCGTCATAAAAGTAAACTTGCTAAAGAGTGACTTCGAATGTGCCTGTAAACCTATGTGGTGGGGAATAGGCCCCATCGCACAAAATACGTGTAGCTGCACGTAAACCGCGTTACTTACAGACACACTGACAGGAAGGCAGATGAAAACGATTAAAAAGCTGGGCATTCAACCTGCGCACAGTCACTAATGGCTTGACCCTTTGGGCTCGCAATAACTAAGTTATGACCAAAAACAAAACGATGATGAGGTCTTAATAATAAGTAAAACAGATGTACTTTCTACCTCTTTAAGACAACTGATTGATAGCTAGTCTTCCTCTGCATGTACCGTGTACGTGAAGTGACGCGCGGCATTACTACTTACACTGTGTCAATACAAGTTACCAGTGCCCCGCTACACTTGGTAGCACTTTGCAGTCCGTCCGAGGAACATAACTGTCCCCCCCCCGCATAAATCATGAACCTGCTCGATGACGATGGTGACAACTTTCACACCACGCGTAAAAGCTGCAACTATTTGAGTGACATTGAATAGAGTGCGGTCGAACGACTGGTGTAACGGGGCACCCTGAAGCTTGCACTGGTGACAGTACAAGCTACTTATTCTGATGACAGAATAAGGCGGTGCCTCGGAACTTGACGTACACTCGTACGTGCAGAGGAAGACGGTAAGAAGAAGCGAGTACTTGGTTAGAGTAAAAAGTAGAACTGTATTTATAATAGTTAATGTCTGCAATAAATCACTATTTATCTTCATCTAACTATGTCTAAATACAAATGTGTAAATCAACTATCTGCTCACCACTCATTGCGTGCGTCTGTCGTGGCGCGTCTTCGTTTGTTGATATAATGGCCTATATCAACCAATTAGGAACTACTCGTAAGTGCTACAGAATATTTGTCCTTATGATCACCCCCCCCCCCGTAACCATCAGTCACTTTAGTGACTGATTGACTAAATGGATACTCGTCCCAAATCATTTGGGACAGGGTTTGCAATTGTTGGTCCGAGTCCACTTCCCAACATTTCATCGCATGGTTAACAAGCCCATGCGATGCGCGAGCAAGGCCGCCGAGAGCGCGTCCGCACGTCTCTGTGCGGACGCCGAAGCAGAAACCACAGCAGCTGATGTATCATCGGTTGCTGAAGCGACCCAGCCTGTGTCACTTGGTGATGCAGGCGCTGGTCATGAAGACACTCATGTCTTCACAGAGTACGAGCTCGGTGTCTCGTACTCTCCTGATACGGAAGACGGATCCGTATCGACGGCAATCGAGTCCAAGCCGCCTGCCAAGCGTGGCACGGATGATGCTTTGCGTCGTAGCAGCTTTGGTTCATCTGATGAATCAGATGAACCATCGCCGAAGCGAAGGCGCTCGAGGTCGCGTGTAACGGGGCACCCTGAAGCTTGTACTGGTGACAGTACAAGCTACTTATTCTGATAACAGAATAAGGCGGTGCCTCGTAACTTCACGTACACTCGTACGTGCAGAGGAAGACGGTAAGAAGAAGCGAGTACTCGGTTAGAGTAAAAAGTAGAACTGTATTTATAATAGTTAATGTCTGCAATAAATCACTATTTATCTTCATCTAACTATGTCTAAATACAAATGTGTAAATCAGTTATCTGCTCACCACTCATTGCGTGCGTCCGTCGTGGCGCGTCTTCGTTGGTTGATATAATGGCCTATATCAACCAATTAGGAACTACTTGGAAGTGCTACAGAATATTTGTCCTTATGACAATATTCTGAGAATATGACTCTTATAGTTATATTCTATTAACAATTTCTTATAAATTGTTATGTAACGATTCACCCCGTTACATCGCGAGACTCGGGTGCTAACAGTGGTGTCGGTTCTCCTATGGACACCACTTCACAGCGAGGTGCCAGTACTTCTGTCGGCACGTCGCAGGAAGAGCGGGACCGCAATGTGTTGCGTCTCGCTCCTGAAAAGAAGGCATGGATGCCTCCAAAATCCGTCATGGATCACTTGTCGGCGACGACGAGTGATCGTTATCAAACACGGTTGTTCGATTCGTCAAGGATCCATCACCTTGACCCCAGTGCGAAAAACTATCGCGCTGAACATGAATTCTTTATCGATGCTTTCTTCAAACATCGATGGTACAGTGGGAATCACAAACGTGATGGTCCCTCACTGCTTCAAGCGTGGAACGCTTACATCCATAACCTCGAGGATGTAGGTCGTGACGCTTGGAACGACAAACTTACCAAAGCTCGTGATAAGTTTGAAAAGCGAACCCCGACAGGTGCACGCTACAAGCTGCATCGTCTGTCAAGGGAGAAGGGATTACCCTGCCTCTCATGGGGAGACTCGTGCCCATGTTGTGTGAACAACTCTGCACGAGCACCTAAGGAGGCTTACCTCCTTACTAGCCCGTGGTGGCGCGTACGTATCTCTATTGAGATGTACGAAGGGATTGACAACTTGAAATCCCTTTACGACCGTGCTGGGAAGACTTTCTCCGGCGGTACTTGTGCGGCACAGGATGTGCCGCGTCGTACTGCTCAACCAGACCCAGTACGTCGATCATCAGTTGGGAGAGGGGCTCCCGAGAATCCCAGGACGGGGGATAGCCGCGCCACCGGACGAGATAACTCGTCCGACGTCCGTTCACGTCGCGGTGGTTCAACAGCTGCTCAACTAGATAGCGCTGGCCACCGCGAGAGTCCTCTAATGGAGGTGGAGGAGGAGGAAAGACCCTCTCCACACGATCATGTGGATCGGTGTGTTCCCGAGAGCTTCTTTGATCGCGTAACGCAAGGGTTACGCGACGATCTCGAACATGAGCGGAATAGGCGTCTCCAAATGGCGGACACTGCCTCGAAGCATCGAGCTGAGTTTGCCTTTGCTCAGCTTGAGAACGAAAGATCTCTGACATCTCTTCGTGACGAGCTAAGGGTAGCTTGTGGGATTGTTGATCGGTCTCGGGATGAGATAACTGCTCTTCAGACCCTTGTCGATGCCCACCATCGGGAGCACAAGGCTCTCTGCGAGATGCTTGAGCGCAAGGGCGTTCTTCATCGGAAGAAGCAGCGTACTGATGGTACGGCTTAAGCCGACCAACGTAAAACGTGGGATGCGTTCGCATCTTACGTGGTAACTCGATCGTGGATGCATTGCCTAGGCGGTGCAATACACGAAATGGGCCGATGTACTTGGGTAGTAGTTTACTGCTACCCAAGTTAGTCACTACATGCTTTGGTAGATTAACCGTAGACAGTAGGACTAAGTCACCTGTATTAAATAAAAGAGTGTTTGCCCTTCCATTCTTATCAGCGTTTTGCTTTTGCTTATCCACCGCTTCGGCGATGGAGTCTTGCACAAAACGGACTACCGTTTCACGAGCCAGTATGAACGAACACCTGTGCTGAGAAATTAGAATTACTCTCTTTGGCTGCAATCATGCGTGCAGCCGCATTCTTGGCTGCCTCGGTAGTGCACCAAATGGAATTTGACACCATGCGATGAATAGACCAATGAGTCAATAATTGAAAACAAGTGCTCCCCTTCCTAGAGTGATCCGACGGTGATCACCCTGTCCATAATTAATTTAATTTATTAAATAGGTGATTGATGGCTTAGCAATGGGGTGTAACGGGGTAACCCTTACATGATATTGACACCAAACGTTGCCAATAGAGATTTTGTCTAGCATGAAAATATCCTTCCAATATTACCTGAGATGGATAAAATCGAAGGAATATTACATCTTTTTAGGATACTATTCATGCGATACTCCAACATTGGTTGATTAAAGACATGTCAACCATAGATTGCCACCAATCGCTGCTAGACGCGCGTAATGAGTGGTGAGCAGGTTGTCGCCTACGACAATGTAATTTAAAAAGTTAGATAAAGCTTAAAATTACATTGATAGCTTGACCATTTTAAAGACAGTTCTCTTTTACCCTTTTCTTAACTAGCAGTTTGAGTAAATTAGATTCCTCTGCACGTACTAGTGTACGTAAAATTTGGTGGAAACCCAAAGGAGGGTGTTTCATTACAGTACGCGTCGTTCACTAGCTAGCCTTCCTATGCGGGTACGTTGTACGTGAAGTGACGCGCGGCACTACCTACACTGTTGTCAGTGTAGGAGCAAAAGTACTGGAGTTGTATCCGTAAACGGTGCCCATTTAGACGAATTCTGGCATTAAATCGGGAATTACTCACTTGCGATTTACAAGATCTATTACTTCACACTTTGCGAATGTCTCGAATAACGTTATTTTTACAATCGATAAATTAATCAAAACAGTGGGTAGGGGGTGTGGGTACGGTGCACATTTCGATTGGGTACAGTCCTGAATAACCCCTTTTATGATTTTATTCTCCATTGGGATGCTCCTTTTAGACTTTCCCTCAGGTGGTGCAACTCACGATGCTGAGCCTTTCGTCGCTTCGGCCTGGATCATAACTACACAAGAAGCTAAAATTAGACGTTACTTCGTAATATGGAATAATGAACGATCCTGATGCCCTCAGACCCTCCGCTAGATCACTTGCCTAATTATTGGGTTCTGTACTTCTTTTTGGCGTTTTCCGTATGATCAACTGAAGAGTCAGCGGCAACACAACGACACATCCTCACAGAAATTGCTAGAAAGCTGTTGCGTTTCAACAACAGCCTGTCGGCCAGCCTCCTGTCCCGTCACTGGATATGTATTTGTCCACTTTTATACAGTAGAGTCTCCCTTATTTGATATGTCTTAGACCTCCAATTTTGATCAGATAAGGAAATTGATAAATACTGAGTTAAGGAGGATCAGATTGAAGCGAAGGGTGCTACACGTGTAAGCAAGGAGGAAGGTAGCGCAGCCGCACCGCCCGTCTCTCTTTGGATTGCTGCATCGATGCTCGCAGAGCTCAAGAATTTCTATTTGCAGCAGGATACTGATGAGGTGTGTTCACGGATAATTTAAAGGATGCAGGATTGGGTGGGAAATCTTCAGCAAATATCTCTCAAGCAGCAAACTTTGGATAGTATTTTGTAGTGGTCCCCGGCAGTAGTTTAATATTCGTATGGCGGAATGCTTCGATGGCTAAATGAAAAAAAACAATTTTAGCCTGGGCTTAACAAAAAGATCAACCTATATAATGTAAAGGAGATTATTACCTTAGAAAATGAAACCTTACGGTGCATAGACTGCATTAAGTAGTGTCCGCTCCGCGGCTGCGTGCACAATGGGCCAGCTATAATGATACTTGCAATCCAAACTTTGATGGTGTCAAGACTACTCGAAAATATCGTAATGGTGTCAATACTACTCGAAAGTAGCGTCGCCCGACGCTTGACTTCAATTCCGATGGCATGGTCACGCTTAAGATGCACCCATCCGACAAAAGAGATAGACGAAGTAGGATGTACGAATGTTTTTTACAGGAATATGAGTACGTAGTAAATGTGCAATATCTTCCAGGGTGATTCACATGACTGTAGCCGGTGAGATGACCACAAGTCCCTGTTTCTGGTCGGAAAAAAATTAAGTTCGGACTCTCGTTGAACCTACACGAACACAATACACGAATAACTACACTTACAAAATACGTTACAACGGGGGAGCTCAGATTCAAGACTGTTTTTCTTCGAGAGAATTTCGGCGCAAGTAACCCTTGCGCTCGTGTGGCGCTCCACGGGCTTGCTCTAATTTAGCACACTGCGCGAGCCGTCCTCGACCAATTTGCACTGGGTTAAGTCAACGATCATCTAGCTGTCGATCTTTTTCTGCTATAGCGCCATGTAAAGGATTGAGCTCGTTACATTAAAATTGATATGAATGTAGTAATTTCTAGATACAAACTATTGGATAACATTTAATCATTATCGTTCGAAAAGAGATGATGTTAACGGAATATTATCTCCGAGGGTAATATTCTGGGGTGCTCTACTTTTGGTTGATGAAGACACTACATTAACCAATTATACCGCAGATGGCTTCTTGACGCGCGCAATGGGCGGTGAGCAAGTTACTCACATAGAAGATCGTAGTTTTTCATAATCAGATCAAGACAAAAATGATTTACAAAGATACTTAACGATATTAAAAACAGCTCAACTTTCCCCCTAAACAGATCTTTTAGTTCTGTCTACTTAGCTGCGGTTCCTCACGCCACTTGTACGTGACGCCGGAAGCACGCAACCTTGTGTTTATTTAACACATGTTCTTACGAAACATTTGATAAAGAAGTCCTCGGTTACACCTGGTAGCTCTTTGTAGTCCGTCTAACGACCTCGAACATGTTTGATGATGACGAGGACGACTTCCGCCCCACACATGAGAACAACCCCTATTTAAGTCAAACAGAATGGGATGCCATCGAAATATTGGGTTTGAAAGTAGGTCAAGAAGCCGTTGGCGCAATATTGTCAGCTTTGGGTCCAGACAAACAACACGCTATCATCGCCAAGCTCATTCACCATGAACTTGACGCTGATCGGGGATAGGCAACCTTGCTTTACCAACAGAATTTTCATTAAATTAAGTTATTTCGATAAAGTAGTGCTCAGCAGTTCGATCTGTTGAGACAGCAGCAGGATGCTGATAACGGATCAACACACACATGTCGACCCAAATCGCTAAAGGTTGACATCATCAAGTGCAAAGGAGCTAAAGATGAATTTCTGCTAAGACGGTTTGTAGAGCTGAGTGACGCCATTAGGGCTTTTCACTTCTTCGATAGGCAAATGCTACCCGAATTTGCTCAAACAGACTTGCAAGACGTGCGAATACGTGGACCTTCGGCCTCAGCTTCACGACACATTCGTATTTGGGTCGTCAGAGATCTTTAAATTTCGACTCAGATTGATATTCGATTGCCGCAAGCTGAGTTCAGGGCTCATGCTTAGTTCCTTAAATCTCAATCAAGGCAAACGTGATGTACACCCGTTAATTTAGTAAATGCGTCACCTTACTAGCCGCATTACAGCAGATCCGCCGAGTGAACAAACGCTGATTACGTTGATTATGAAAGATTTCGCGGACGGTCCGGTCAAGACCTACCTTTCCAACTAAGATTTAGTTTTCTGGAATATACGAATACGAACTGGGAGAAAAACAGGAGGACTTCAGCGTATAACAAGCTCACGTGAGATCAAATTTCTATGCACCCCCCCCCCGGAGGCAACAGGAAATGGGGGCTTGGAACCCTGGGAACCTCAGATATACTTAAAGTGAAAGCTCTTGCACAACAAGTATAAGTAGTGCAGAGATGCGATGAATGTCCAAAACAGGGCGTTATACATAAGAATGTAGTCCTACGTACTGCAAAAGGAACCGCCAAGTGGACAAGAGGGGCCAGCGTTATTCAGACGCTGTTTCAAAAGCAGATCACCGTAATGGACAGCCAAAAAACAGTCAGGGTCTGTAGGTACGGATCTTCCAACAGATCCAGCAACGTCAACTAAACCTAGGTTTCTTGTCAATAGATGCTTGCAATACGCAATCATTGTGTGTTACTGCATCTATTAGCGATAAATACCTCATTACCTTGAATCTCGCTACAAGCTATAAATGATCGTAAGGCATAATTCAACTTTGTAAATTTCCAGTCGCTAGAGAATCGAAAGCATACATTTAACAAGTGCGAGAACCTTTTAACGAGATGACGATACGTCTCGCGACATGTGCATCCTTAACAGTAATAAAAATTGTAGTGAAAATTGCCTCTACACTAGAAAATGTCCAGTGCGAAGATGACTTCATCATATTGGACTTAAATGGCAAGCTCAATGATATACGTGGTTTTTCTTGGCTGTAAAGTTACAAGCCACAAGTCAGCTAATATCAATCAATTGATATAACTGTCTCTTGTTTACCAGAATCCAATTTAATGAATGTATCAGAGTGTCTACCATCAAGTAGATGCACTACGAGTAATGCGATGAACTCGCGAGTACTTCCTTCGTTATTACGAATGCACAAGATCGCAATGTGACTGATCATCACATTAAGATGCAATTTCTGTTATTCGAATAGTAACACAGAAAGCGTCGAAGGCCCACCACACGAATAAGTCGAGAGGAAAAGAGAACGGGTGTCCTTTCATTATACATCACCCGTAAAATTACCAAACGGTTGCCAATAATTTCAAATACAAAGGTGAGCTAGCCCAAGAGGCTAGAGTTGAGGAAATAGGTCCCCACGACACTTTGGAAAAAGTTTATCATAAGATAACAGAGGTATTGAATGTCTTGGTGAATGTAGGATTATGTACAGGTGCTTTTACACTTAATCTAAACGTGCCTCCGCTGTTAACTTAGCGACCAATCAGTTGAACACGCTAAAACAAGATGTTTCTAGGCCATCTGTGTAGTGGGAGAGGCAAGCAGATCAGCGTTCTTGCCGCGGAAGACGGATACGTCAGTGACATCCTATCGGCAATGGTCTTTTCCGAGGATATGAGAGTCCTCAGTAACTCATCAAAAGAAAATATATGTTCTCTTTAAGAAAATTAAGATTGATCGACATTCATCCCGATTGTAGAAATCTCTTATAGCAAATCCTCTCTACGACCATTTAGTGAAATTCAGGGGTGCTTTTCCCAAAACCACTCCCGTTTGGGCTACCTAAGGACAAAGTTACTGTCACGAAATCGACATGAAACCGAATTTGAAGTACTGTGTCATTAAGCTCCAGCCACTGGGTCTTGAACAAGAACAAGCAATCTACAAATCATTTTAGATAGCTTAGCAGCCAGCCACATGGGGGGGGGTCACACTCCCCACGTAGCTTTCCGCGATCTGTGTGATAAAAGCCACAAGCATGTGGTGAAATTGAACGCATTATACAAGCTGAAAGCTGCAACGGTGCTGACGTAAACGCCGATTACAAGAAAATGTAATACCGTAGGTAGTATGAAAAAATTACCATGTTTTATCAAAGTCCCGGATGGACGGCCTCTATGAAATTGTAATGAGACAAAAGGAATCTTATTTAATGCAGTAAAAAAACCTAAGCGGTCTTCTTTGGGAGTGGTCAGTAATATCAGAAGGGCTATGCAATTTCCCTGATTCGTTAAACATATGCGTGAAAAATGCGTTGAGATCTGTACGATACTTCGCACCAATTTACTTCGGTGATGTGTGCGTCTATAGCCCAGCCTATGGATGGACAAACGGATGTAGAAGCGTACTGACTTCAAGTCCAGAAGTTTCTCACACTCGAGCGCAAGCACAAGATATATGCCGCCAATACCAAAGAGTGCATAGATTCTGCTAGAGAAATGCCGCTTCTTGGTTGCATCATGGTTATACATGGCGTATGACACCACTCGAAAAGACCAAGGCGATAACCGACCAACCGGTGCCTGTTGATATAAAAGGAAATATTTCGCAACGTGTTCGCACAATTAAGCCAAGATGCATGCTCACATCCTTCATCAATTTAGAATAATTAATATTGGTTACGAGATGCCGACTATTAGCTCTTCGTAGAATGCATCAAAAGCTTGATTTAGGCGCCAGTTCTGGCAACTACCACCAGGCCATCTCATGTTTTTGTGATGCCAGAACTTTTTAATTTGCTGTGCACTAAAAGCAGCACGATGCAGATTGTGCAGTCCGCGTCGTCTCTTATCCGTCGCGTTAGCTGCAATCGGATGAGCATGATTACTACGTTAAAAACAAAGAACTACTTTCCATGAAGTACGCCTTGGCAAATATCCGGGTTTATTTGTAGCAGGATAGACCCTCAATCATCTGTACGTGACATTTGTCTTTACGTACGGCCGTAGATAGTCTACACCTCTTGCAATAATTGTCGAGGTGGATTTCCTTCTTCGCGAAGTGCGGATCCACCGTAGAGTACAAGGTAGGAAGACTTCATGTCATCGCCGAGGGTCTCTCGCGCCGGTCCATATTAGAATTGCTCACTCAACCCAATACTAACAATTGCCTTTGCGGTAATTTTCTTAAGCGTTTCGTCGTCAAACTCACTGCAAAAAATAGGAATGCATTTTATACGTAGATTGCGAGTCTGATAAAATATCGCTTGCAACCTTACTGTAGAATACTCAATTAGCCGTCGGCAGTGTGTCAACCTTTAACGGGTATGTATACAGTATACAGCGGCTTATTGCAATGTTTAGCTGTTGTAGGACACACGTCTTATTCCGTCGCACATAACCATGGTATTACAAGTTTGCGGATCATATATGAATACCTCGCCTCACCTACTAGTAGGCGTCGTGGTCGAGAGAAGGCTTGTGTCGAGACAAGCAGCGACTTTTCAGGTCTTGCCAGCATAAGTTCGTGCTAAAGTACATTATTGATTTCGGGCCTGTCATCTAATAAAAATTGGACTTGACTTTGTGCTTCGTTGCAGTATTTGCTCGTCCAGACTAAGCGCTGAAATTACACATCAATGAACTTCGTGCTCGAATACCTCAACGATCCGCACAAGAGCACTAGTATTTTTGTGTTCGTTGAAAAATTCAAAAAAATGGTACATATGGTCGCTGACCTCAATCGATCAAATTATTAGGTTGTGTTCGTTTTTTCGAGATAATCTTCCCCATTATGGTCTGACTCGTGAATTCGTGTCTGATCGGGACCCTCGGTCCACAACTAAGTTCTGGAACTACGTGTTTTAAACACTCACAACACGCTTACAGTTGTCCACATCTGACCACCCATAACGGATGGTCGAACTGGATTTGCCAGTCAAAGGCGAAATGCGCGTCAACCATCTCTTCAATGTCAACTGTAACGTCATTGAGAATAGGCATTAGTAGCATTATAAGTTATATTAGAACTGAGTTTTAATGATTAAATTGAAGATCAATTGGCAAATGCACAGTAATGTAAGCCTCGGGAGGGCGTAACGACGCATGGTAGGTATAAATGATGAAGGGCCTATCTCTTAAGAGATATACCCGAAACTTAGCCAGTGCATATTGTATGGCAGATAGTTCCTTGTCGTGCACCGGGCAATTACGATCAGCTGCTTGCAGCTGACGCGATTGATAACAGACGACGCGCTTAACGCCGTCTGAGTCGTACTGCATAAATGTGCAGCCGATTGTAAAATCTCTGGCATCACAGACAACATGAAATGGCCTATCCTGATCTGCAATCGCCAACACAGGCGATTGCTCCAAGCTTTTTTGATACCTTCAAAGGAGTGCTGACATTCAGCACTCCATGACCACCTCTAGTTGTTCTTTAGCAGACGAGAGAGATGTAAGTTTATATCGGCGTAAATGCGCGAGTACTTGTGCAAGTACGCCGCCAAGCCAAGGGACTTTCGAAGCCCCTTGACGTCGACTGGCACGGGCCAGTTGCTAATCGCCTTGATCTTTTCCGGTTCAGGGCGTCCACCGTTTTCACCCACGATGCAGCCAAGAAGTGGTATTTTGTTCGCTGCGAATATACACTTCTTGAGGTTCGCGAACAACTTATGCTCTCGCATTAGTATAAGAACCTTCCGGACGTGGATTTTATGAACCTCCACGTCTTTCCTCCTATCCATAGCCCGGCTATGGACGAAGACATTGTCAAAGTAACTCGGTGCAAAATCGCGCACCGATGGCAACGGGTTTGCAGCACACCTGTTGAATGTTGCAGGGGCGTTACTTAGCCCCTGTGGCATCACTAGCCACTCCCAGAGCATACCACTGGGGGTGCTCACTACTGTGTACGGAATATCCCATTTACGAATAAGGATCTGATAGAATACATCCATCAGATACATGGACGAAAAGATGGTACTTTTTGATATGCCATCTATGATGACATCCTTCATCATTATCGGCGTTTGAGCCGGTACCGTTGTAGCGTTTAATTTGTTGAACGCGTGCACTATCCGCCACCCTCCTGTGGCCTTTCACACACAGAAGGTCGGAGAGCTGTATGGGGATGTTAGTTCCCTCACATGACCAGCCGCTAAACGATCGGCGAAGAATTTGTCGATCGCTGTTACCTATTCACGAGGCAGTGGCCACTGCTTTATGACACAGTACTTCGAACCAGGTTTCAGTTCGATCTCATGCCGAATGCATTTGTCCTTGGGCAGCCCGCATAGCACGGATTCGGTGAAAACATCCCTGAATTCGGCCAGTTTCCTTATACAAAGGTTTTATCTGAATCTACTTCTAAGATTAAGACGTGTATCTCATAACCTGGGTCTTCCCATTAAGGACACCCTCGTCCATCGATGAGCTACTAAGAGCCCGTTCGTTCTCAGTAAACACTCGTGCCGACGGAATATCGGCGACGTACTCGTCCTCTGTGACGAGTACGCAGATCTGCTTGATCTTGTCACTACGCAGATCTCGCAAGAATATTTTAGATTCTAGCATTGGCAACTTTATTACCTCCGAAGATGACTTTGGAGGTTTAGCCAGATCAAGTGTAACGCGCCTACACTTGATCCGTCATTCACCAAGACATTAACTGATTCGGTGATTTTCTGGGAAATCACATCCGAATGTGGTAAGGATAACACACCCTCAACATACCTCACTCAAGAATTACCACTCTCAGGAGCGCTAAACCTTTCTTCCAATACAAGTTTTGAATGTGGGTGCACTACCACAGTCATGTCTTCTTCGATCGAATATCTTTCGGACGATCGTGTTATCTTAACGATCGACTCTCTAATAGTCGATCTCGCTTCAACGTGTTGTTCATCCTGAACAACACTCATTTCTCTTCTTGTATGCACCCTGCTTGGTGTGCATCCGTGTTTCAGTCCACTATATCTTTTGAATGGTGAACCTTCGGCGCAGCCAGTGTCTCTACACAGGTGCCGGAAGCTGGATCCACAGTGTAGTGGCCTTCTATAATGTGATGTTGTGCAGTTGTACTGAATACCGTACCACAAGTGAGGCCATCGCACTCACTCGTAGCACATCCGTAGACTTCCAAAATGTTCATCAGTGGCTATTAGATGAACAAATGGCAGGCATCTTCACGGACCGATGCTGCCAGTTGATTTATGGCTGGTACTTTCGAAGCCATGGTAGAACGAGAATGACATCAAATTTTTCATCCAGATTTAGTTCGATGAAGTCATCATCGTACTGCTTTCCTTCCAGCGCGTAGTGGGTCCCCACTACACGTTTGTTCACTGTTACGGATTCGCCTGTTGCAAGGCACACCGTCATCCTTGTTGGAGGGAACTCTAGCTCAACATAATTGAGCCTACTATCCCCTAGCGACTGGCTTCAAATAAAACTGTTCGACGCCCCATAGTCAACTAGGGCGCAAAGTGACATTCCACTTGTCACTTCGACCTTCAAAGTGATGAGACGCTCCTCATCACTAAGGGCAGTAACAAACAGAGACTGCGTGTTGGGAGCAATCTTCTTCAAGAGTCCTGCAAATTTTTTGACGTTGCTGGATCAGCAGGGTGCTCCGCCCCCACTGACCCTGACCTTTTTTTACGGTCCGACTTGCTGTCGCGTTTTAGTGACATGGTCGGATCCACGCCTTGAATTTTTTCTTGGCCGACAGTGGCCATAACGTCCTATCTTTGGACGTGTTGCAGTGCTTCGGACACTACACTCATGAGCGGAGTGCCCAATCTTCTGACAGCGATGGCATCTTGCCGTTCGCTTGTGACTCTGAGGGCGAGAGTTCTCGCTCTCAATGTAACAGAGGTCCATTGGTTCGGGACATCCTGTTTCCTGTCGTCTCGTCGGAAGATAGTTTGACGAGTTATCCTAAGACTGTCATAGGCTTAAGTCTTCTGATTTCCGCATACGCAATCGCCTTTTCCAGCGCATAAGAGTCTTCTCGGAAGATGAAGGTCTTGACCGATTCATCTACAAGACCTTAATTAAAAAAGGTGTTGAGGGTGTGCTCACCAATAGGGTATTCCATGATGCTACTCGCAAGGTAGCGTAGGTGTTTTACATTAGCGTGCACATCACGCTTACCGTGCTTTAGCATCAAGAGTGCAGAGCGTGCTCTGAACTCGGCTCTCGGCGGTCCAAACGTCTTTTTAAGCCGATACTTCAAGATCCCTAACGACTCAAACACGTTCGGGTCGTGAAGCTTGAGCCCTGAGGCCCATATCTTTGCAGGTCCCGTCACATCTGACAGGGCGAAGGTGACTTTCATCTCGTCACCCTCGATGTGACGAGCTCTGATGGCATCGTCTAACTCGACGAACCATCTCAAAAGATAATCTTCATCGGTTCCCTTGTACCTTGAGATATCGATCTTCAAGGTTTCGGTTCGACGCATGTGCGTCGGTCCGCCCATCGACCGATGAGAGCCTTGCTGCTGTAGCAAGGCTATCTTCTGTCGTTCGACAGCAAGTTCTCCTTGTAGAAACTTTTTGATAGCAGCATGTTGCTGGTCTCTGCTTAGATACTCCAACATGCCACTGATGGCGGGCTTGCCAACGAGCACACTTATGCGGCCGACTACCTCCCAATATGAGTCACTCAGATGGGAGTAGCCTTCACATGTGACGTGAAAGCTGTCGTCTTCTACGTCCAACATGTTCGTGTTGGACGAACACTAAGTCGTTGGACGTAGGACGGACTACAAGGTGTAACGGGGCACCCTTTGTTTGGGGTGCCGCGAAACTTCACGTACACTAATACGTGCAGAGGAACCTATTCTACTCAAACAGCTAGTTTGAGTAAAGGGTAAAAAGAGAACTGTCTTTAATATAGTTAAGCTATCAATATAATTCTAATCTTTATCCTACTATATTAACCTTCATCGTCGTATGACGACAGCCTGCTCATCACCTATAACGCGCGTCTAGCAGCGATTGGTGGTAGTCTTGGTTCATATGTCTATTATCAGCCAATCTTCGAGCAGTGCATGAATATTATCCTAAAAAGATATAATATTCCTTCAATATTATCCATCTCGGGTAATATTGGCAGGGGATTGTCACGCTAGACAGTATCTCTATTGACACCGTTTGGTGTCAATATCATTTAACGGGCTACCCCGTTACACGATATATAGGAGTAGAAAGTAAAATTGTATTGGACACATTTAAGTCCTGCTTACATGTACCTATGTTTAGTCCTAGCTTAATCATTTTCATTTACAAAAGTGTATGCTAAAGTATTGCTCGCCACTCGTTGCGTACTTTCATAGTTGAGTGGAACGCTAGAGCTGGCTGATACGATGGCCCGTATCAGCCAATTGGTGAGTGTTTAATATATTACCCCTTATGGTGATATTCACGAACACTATCAACCTTTATGATGGTATTCTAATTCACAAGTATCGAGGTCAATTACATGTGACGGGCTCACCCCGTTACATATCGTGTATTCGCTCGCACAGTTTACTATGAGAGTCCCGGTGGCAAAAGCTGGTCGCCCCCCGATGTGAATCCGCGAAAAAGACAAGTATGCCATCAAAAGTATGGCTTTCTCGAGCGTGCTAAAGTGGCTCTTCTTCAAGAGGGAGATGAACATTGTTTAATGTCGGTCTTGACGCTGCCGGTTAACCACTGTATAGTACAAGCTCTAGGTAGAAGAAGTGGTCACGACCATCCCAATTATCGGCACGTGAGAAGATGTCGATAGCTGCATTTCGAAGAGATACAGAGGATAGCGATGCTTGCCCTGGTGCTAAATACTCTGTTTAGTGTATCTGATGGAGGTCAGTAGTCCAACTGAATATGTGGCTCTGACTCGGTAGTAGAATATAACGTGGTGACGGTGGAGTACAAGAACATAAGCCACAAGGCGTAAGAAGTCGATGAACAGGACAACATCCGTCCGTTGCGGCGCTACTATTACCAACACACACAGAGTCATCGCGATCGTGTGGATGGTGAACGAGGACAAGCTGCTCCGCATTCTGCACACGACGAGCTGCACCGCATGCTGAACGAGGACGAGATGCGGGACTCAGTGCTGCTAGTGTTTGCAAACAAGCACAATCTACCGAACGTCATGAGTGCGCCGAATCGACGAACAGCTAGATCTGCACGGCTGCGCCACCACCAGTGGTTCATATTAAAAGAAACGCAAAACACGCTAATGGCATTTATAATCACTTATATCAGTGAGCACGGATTTCGTGTACGGGACAATTGTTTTTGTTGGGTACGGTCTGGACAAATCTGATGAAGGAGAAAAGAGCAAAAGTATGGATTGTCTTTGTAACTTTGGCCAGCATAGCTAAAATTAGATAAATGGATAGCCTAAATCGAGCATGAATGTTGTGAGCACTGCGCCTGCGTGTGCTTAGAGTTTCCAAGAAGGGATTGTCTCTCTGCGATCTCGATCTCTAGAACTTTACAGGAACTAGTGCTGGACATTGTAGTTGCACGATAAGCGACAACAGGTTATCCGTCATTGCCCACTCATAAGCCTTGACAAGTCAATGACGAGTGATCATTGAAGATGCAGCTGAGTCAGACACAACCCATTCACGATCTGCAAGCAAGAAAACCCACAAAGGACTCGTGTCCAATTGTCAAGGTCGTGATTGCGACATTAATTGAATCTGGTCCAAGTATCGCATCACCGATGCGATGGACGAGACATCAACAACCATGATAGCGCCACACCCGAGTCCGAATGCTCGTCTTTTTGCGTATACCGTCATGATGTTTACTCCGCACACAAGCCACTTACAGATGCCCTGATGTTGTCGTCATCATAGATGTTGGTTACGGGGTAGGCTCTTTGCTGTCAGTCCAGTGTCAGCTCTAAAGAGCTCCTCGCAGTTCTAAAGAGCTCTTCTGTGCTTGCGCGTCCTGAATTCCTCGTGGTTCTCATAATCAAGCAGGTCATCGTTCAGCAACAATTGGACAGCAAGCAGGGACTTCACGCACGCATTGTCAAGGACTCGCAGTCACTTTGTAACTTGTGCATCTTCCAGACTTCAGGACGAATAGTGCATCATCGTCAACTGCTAATCCTGACGTCAGAGTCCAACGCCTGGCTGGCAGTGTCGAAGCCAGTTCTCTTTGTAGATCAACTGGTCTCCACCGGACGACTGACATGGACGTGTTCAGGGACCAACAGAAGGTCTCGAGAAGCTGGTAATCCAAAGACCTGGAATAAATTGAAGGTCTCCATTGATTCATTCCAGCTTTTGCTTCACACCCCACGCATCGATCAGTCCATCGCCCACTAAACTTCCGATGCAGATCCTGGTTACCGCCATTCCTCTTGCCCTCGTGGCAACGTTGTCGTTGACGGCAGCTCAACCCTTTTGCGGACAATACCACCTGAAGGTCGTTCCCCCCTACACGGTCTACAACAACCTGTGGGGTCAAGCCGATGATCCAAAAGGCACCCAGTGCACGGAAGTCACCCGTGTTTCGGACGAGTCCATAGGCTGGATGACGCACTTTAACTGGACTGGCAGTCGGTACCAGGTCAAGTCGTTCGCCAATGTAGCACTCACGTTCACGCCCGTGAAGATGTCTCAGGTGGCGAGTATACCGACGGTGATTGAGTACAAGTACGAGGACGTCGACGACACCCTCATCACTAACGTCGCGTACGACATGTTCTTGGGCCCCCAGCCACAAGGGGAGTTCAAGTACGAGTTGATGGTGTGGTTGGCCACTTATGGCGGTGCCGCGCCTTTGGCCCGTAGCTACGATCCCATGGTGCCCATCAAGGCGAACGTGAAGGTGGGGGGCGTCACGTTCAACTTGTACGAGGGAATGAATGGGGATGTCACGGTCCTCACGTACCTCGCGACGAAGAACACCAATCGGTTCAACGGAGACTTGAAGGAATTTGTTGAGAAGCTCCCGAACCCGAAACTGCTCGACGACCAGTACTTGGTCAAAGCCGAGGCTGGCACGGAGCCCTTCCAGGGAAATGCCACACTGGTCGTGTCGAAGTTTTCGCTTGGGGTCATCCCGTAACCCAGCAACACATCGTAAGCTCAGCTTAGGGCCTTGCGTTTCGCGTACGGAACAGCAGGAAAGGTGATGCTGTGGTTGATCAGGAGTCTTGGTCGTCACATCTACGAAGCTTGGGTAGCTGTCGGGAAAACCAGCTTTTCTTGTAGCAATGTCTACTTCTCTTAGTGGAGATCGTAGGAGGTTGTTTATCTTTTACATACGAGTCTTACCTTCTTCACTTCAACTGTGCCAAGTGTTTGCTGTGTCCTCACACCTCTTGATATCCGTCATGACCTTACGTGATACAAATGATTACAACGTAGCAAAAGGTCAAAGTGAAGGACCTCAAAGTGCACGCAGCCGTTGCAGTACGACTTCAAATACTTTTTCACACGGCTCCAGCTCTTCACTTGTGTATGCCTGCTCCATGAGCTGCTTAAGATTTCCGATGGCATCAAGAAGGTTGCGCTGCAAGAACACATCCAAAAAACAAATGAATTGTTATGACAACACATACTGATGTGATACATGCTAAGCCAGTCTGTTTAGGCTTCCTTACCTGTACAGGCTTGAAGAGAATCGTCTCAGTGGACGAGTTGCGAAGGTAAAGACGGATGGTTTGCAGAACTCCGGGCAGGGTATTGCGCAACTGATTGTCGACACTCCCAAGCACCTTTGTAACCTCGACCGGCACAGTGAAGGCGTATTGACGGAAGTCCAGCGCAGTGGCCTTGTGCGATTGCTGGGCATGAGCAACTTGCTTCATCACCGCAAGCAGGGGGGCCGCTAACTGCTGCAACACGGTCTCGATAAAAGCTGTACAGCTCTTCTTTAGCTCCTGCTCCAGATCCTTTTTGACATCAGCCGTAGTCTCTTGGATTTGAGGAATGCCACGTGTGAAAAGATCCACGATACCATTTGGTCCAGAAAACCGGAAAAGCGTCGACGCGTCCACCAATAGCTCATTCATGGCATCTGCGCTGGTGGTAAAATCCAGAGCTTTGCTTGTTTGCGAAAACTGAATCTCGAACGGAGTGATCTGTTCGCGCAGTGTGAGCAGATGCTTGACAAGAAAGAGGGAGCCATGCAGACCACCCTTAGCCGCGGTAATATCAGCGGAAGCCATTTTCAAAGATGTAGCGCAGATCTGAATAGCATCCTGGGCCAACTCCTCGAAAATCTCCAGCTATCGGGTTCGAAAGTAGTACAACAAGTCAGAGTCACAACGACTCGAAGCAAGTGTAGCATAATGAACGGACCTTGACGTAATGGTATCCCTTTGACAAGCACAATAGCGTGTGCTCAAGCGACGGGTACCACGTAGCATAAAGCGGTGCACTAGCCTGCTCTGCAGCTTCTAACTTTGCTGGGTAGTCAAGGTCGGCAGCGGTGGGCATAAAGCCTTCAATTTCGTCGCGGATATACTTCTGCATGCAAAGAATGAGCCGTTCCTGTGCATCTTGGATCATACGGTGCATCACGGGCTCGGCATACCCCACGACCGCTACGCGCGGAGTAATAGCTGCCTCAATCACCTCGCTTTTGAGGACCTGGATGACCTCACACAGCACTTCTAGATCCTTTTGAGCTAGAAGTTGAGGTCGTACAGTATTGTACAACAAACTGCTCAGCCGGAAAACGAGCCGTCTACAAGCCACATTTAGTTGCCCAGTCAGCAAGCACGTTTGCCTCTGCAAAGAAGTATAAATAGATGCACTACGTACTGGAATGCGCTCTCGTCTTCGTCTTCTTCCTTTGTATCGCCATTCACAGCAGCGCGAGCAAAGAGCTCGTCGCTCGGATCGCGGCCAAAAAGATTCTGAAACAGTCGACATTCAGCCTCACAGACGTTAAGCAATTGAGTGCAACTTGCGCGGAGCATATTGACAATGTCTGGCGTTCCAGACATAGCACTCAACCATGCAGCCAGCACAGGTGAAAGCAACTGTAGACGCCGTGTGGCATACACATTAGCCACTTCTCCCAGTACACGCAAATTCTGGACCCCTTCCGGAGTCGACTGAGTATTCAAACGCTCGAGTTGCTTTGCGACTGCAGCTAGCGCGGGCGCAACCAGCTGAAAGTTCACGTAGTACGCCGATGACTGATCAAGCGGTTGGACGGACAAAGTTGCAGCGGCACTGCCTTGTTGCACGTCCATTGCCTGCTTCTGCAGCGCTTCATACACTGCATCTTTTGCAGCATCAAGGCTACTCAGTGCATAATCTTTCAGGCATTGTATTCCACCCGCTGCAAGTGTCCGATACTCATCAATGTAGCACGCCGAGTCCTTGAACTCGATCTTGCCACACCAGCAACAAAGCAAAATAGCAACAACAACAATAACAAACAACACCAAAACACAAGGTCAACGTTTTCACCATAGCTTTCCAAGAACACCAACAGCATTTGATCCGTACATGGTCTCTTAAAAACGCCACAGACTCGTCAATTTGCTCCAAAGCTCGGGCAAAGTCCAGCGTCGTCGGGTCAATGCCCCGTCGATGCTGGAACACTTGTACAGCTTTCTCCATTAAGTCCGCACGCTTGGTCTCGGCTACAAAAGCCGATGTAGTGTCTCGTCCAACTGGACGAATTGAGCTGCTGGGCGCTGCAAACTTCACACCAAAGCCCAGCACGTGTGCCACTGCTTCAATTGCAGTAAAGTGCGGCATAAGCGCAGCAATGGCTGCAACCCGAGCGTCCAGCGCTTCCACTTGTTGCAAAATGTCTTCGAAACTCGCATACAGCGCTTGGGTCTTGGCAGCCACTTGGACGTGACTTGTCTCCATGTCATTCACGAGTGCTTGGGAAGCTCGAGCGTGGGTGTACAGAGCGTTCCATTGAGAAACACAAGTGTCAATGGTTGATAAAAAGCGGTGAAAGACGGGGTTTAAGCGGGGAACCGACGCCTTTTGGAGCTGTAAACGAGAAGTTGAGCTCGAGCGATGGGCGAGAAACGCTCGGACGGTGTCGTGTGCGCCTGAAGGACGGTGTGAGTACGAGAGCGACGCGTGGGTTGATGCCTGGGTCTTGACGTGCACTTGGCGCTCGAGAGAGTGCAGCAGCGCGTCTTGCGTGGCGCTTAGAGCGGTGTCCCTCACACCCATTCGGAGCTGGACGAGATCGAGTCAATTGAGGTTTAGTTCGATTTGTAGTTTCGTCGATATTCCTATTCTGAGAGCTACAGTGTTTCACTAAGTGCGCTTTGTGTTCGCCTGGCGATGATACTTCTCATCGTCTGAAGTAGTTTTTACGTTCAGGACATGCATGGTCAGTGCTTTTTAGTGACGAAACTACATCCAGCTTATTGAAAGTGTGTGAATTACACCCTTACGGCTATGGATATCGTGGTTGCCTCGTCCAGCTTCACCTTGTTCTCGTACCAACGTAGGCAACAAGTACAATAGACAGCAAGCGGTAAATGTGCCGAAACGCATCTAGACCTTCGGCTGGAACAGAGACTGCTCGCTTCGGCTGTTGAGTTCGGAAGCCCCTGACGTTCTCGCAGCTCCTTGAACTCCTCTGCTCCATAAGCGCATGAACGCCTACAGATTCAACGCCTTCTTGATGATGCGGTTCTGCTCGATCTGATGCACCGCATTGTAGCCGGTCGCCGGTGCCGCTGCAGGGGCACGGCCAATGAAAGTAGGTCTGCGCGAGTCACTGTTGAGCTGCGTCAGCGCCGTCTCAATGCGTGGCGACACGTACGTCCAGAATCCCATGTTCAATGGCTCCTCCTGCACCCACTTGATGTCGGCGTTCGGGTACCGAGCGGCCTGCTCCGCCACCTTGTCGAAAGGGAATGGAGCAATCTGCTCTACACGCACAATCGCCACGTCCTTGACGTCCTTCTCGTCACGCACCTGGGCCAGCTCATAGTAGATCTTGCCCGAGCAGAAGATCACGCGCTTCACCTGTTCGTCCTCGACCAGCTTCTCCGATGTCACTTCGGGGATGAGGCGCTGGAACTGTGTCCCCTCAGCCATATCCTCCAGCTTTGACGAAGCTTGACGCAGACGAAGCAGGTGCTTCGGCTGCACCGAAATCAGTGGTTTACGGAAGTCGCGGTGAATCTGACGGCGCAATACGTGGAAGTACTGTGCAGGATTGGAGCAATACACCACCTGCCAGTTAGTGTGCTGGATCTGCATACGATTCTCTTCATCCATAAGCGGGACCACGTTCGGGTCGTCGTCCGTGCTTTGCAGGTAGCGCTCGACGCGACACGACGAATGCTCAGCGCCCTGGCCCTCATAGCCGTGAGGCAACAGCATCACAAGGCCGGACTGGCGCATCCACTTGTCCTCACCAGCACTCAGGAACTGGTCAATCATGATTTGCGCACCATTGGCAAAATCGCCAAACTGAGCTTCCCACATTACCAGAGCATTGGGATTTTCCAGCGAGTAGCCGAGCTCAAAGCCCAGCACACCGTATTCCGACAAGGAGCTGTTAGTCGCTACGAACTCGGCCTGCGTGTCCGGGACCGTTTCATTCCCAGGGGTCGTGTAATCCAGTGGGGCCGAAGGTAGCGTGTTCGTGGCCACATGGTTCAGCGGCACATACTCCTCGTTGGTCTCCTGGTCGTGCAATACAGCGTGTCGGTGGCTAAACGTACCACGCTCGACATCCTGTCCACTGATACGCACGTGGTTGCCCTCTAGCAACAACGTGCCCCAAGCAAGGGCCTCAGCCGTTCCCCAATCAATGCCTTCACCCGACTCGATTGCGCTCTTTTTCGCTGCCATGATGCGATCCAGCTGGCGATTGACCTTGAAACCTGGGGTAACCGTGCTGATCTTTTCTCCAACGTGCTTGAGCACATTCATGTGCACACCCGTGGGACGAATACGCGATTGCTGGTTAGGGCTTTTAAACGACTCCCAACGGTTCGCAAGCCAGTCACTCTTCTTCGTGTCTTCCCACTTTTCCGTCTCTTCAAATGTTCTCTGGAAAAAGTTCCAGACCTTGGACACAACGGCGTCGCACTCTTCCTTGGAAGCGGTGCCAGCAGCCACTTGCTGGTCAACAAACTTGTCCAGAACTGACTTCATCTGGCCAACCTTCTTGTACATGAGCGGCTGAGTGAAGAACGGATTGTCCACTTCGTTGTGGCCAAAGCGACGGTAGCACGTCAGATTGATGATCACATCCGAACGCCACTTTTGACGCCACTCCGCCGCGAATTCAAACACCTTCACCACCGACACTGGATCGTCACCATTCACGTGCAGGATAGGCACATCCATGGCCTTGCCGAGGTCTGTGCAGTACTGGGATGACCGCGAGTTCTTCGGGTCGGTCGTAAAACCGATCTGGTTGTTCACCACCACGTGTACGGTACCACCCGTGTCATAATTGTCGAGACCGGATAGATGCATGGTTTCGTACACAACGCCCTGACCGCTAAAGGCGGCATCGCCGTGCAGTAATAACGGCATGACTTTCTTCTCAGCTTCAGCGTCGTTGCCAAGGTAGAACTGTTTGGCACGAACTTTGCCAACTACAACAGGGTCAACTGCTTCCAGGTGAGACGGATTGGCCACCAGCGAAAGATGCACTTTACGGCCATCTGGGTACGTGCGGTCGTACGATGTGCCCAGGTGGTACTTGACATCACCTGAGTTCGACCAGTCTTCCACGTCGCGTTGGTTGTAAGAGTCTACATCAATGTGAGTGCCTTGGAACTCCTTGAAGATCTGCTGGATAGGCTTGCGAATCACGTTTGACAGCACATTCAGACGGCCACGGTGGGGCATGCCGATCACCAAGTGCTCCATACCCAGCTCCGTGCCGCGATCAATCATGAACTTGAGACCAGGAATGAGACTCTCTGCACCGTCCAGACCAAATCGCTTCGTCGTGTTGTACTTGTTGCCCAAAAAGCGCTCGAAGACTACTGAAAAAGCCAGTCGCTCGAGAATATGCATCTTTTTCTTCTTCGTCTCCTCGTTCTTCACAAGATGCTCCATCTTTGCTCGAATCCAGTTGCACTGCTCTCGGTCCAGTATGTGCATATATTGCTACGAACAAGCACACCATGATTATTTAATAACCACCAAAGTGAGCGATTCCCATCAAACACGTTCTTCGGTACTAGCACATTGGCACACTCACCACTCCAATCGAACTGCAGTACGTATCCTTGAGACGCTGAATGATCTGGCCCAGCGTCATGCTGTTATTGCCGTCAGTCAGTTCTTCCAAGAAGCCAGACACACCCGACGAGCTGTAATCCAACACCCAACAATCACCCCATTCTCAGTCCTCTACCCGCTTATTCCAAAAGGTATACTGCACGCATGTACCAAGAGTATGCACACATCTTTGAAATCACCAACGTACAAGTTCTTGGGAATGTCAATCACGCGGTCCAAGTCTTGCTCAGTGAAGCCGTACATCTTAATGTCCAGCTCCGGCAGCTCTTGACGCTCTTGCAGCTCCAGTGGATCCATGTTTGCAGCCTCGTGGCCACGTACTTGGTAAGCTCGAATCAGGTAGCTCAGTCCCAGAGCGTCATTCCTCTCACTAGAAGAAGAAGGCGAAGAGGCAAATCCTGCACCCGCTACAGACTGGACGGGCGTCACGCCCTTTTGAATGGTAGGAGGAGGAATAAATGCTTCCCCCGGCACGCTGCCGCTCTCGACTTGACGGAAGTAGACGTCCCAGGACGTGTGGACACTAGAGACACACAAAAGGACCCAAAATAACCCACACAAAAGCGAATACCCAAAATAAAAACCCAATTCCAAAAACAAGAATTGCGTCAGTTGATTTCGGGGGACCTGTGACAATTAATATGTTGCCATCTACCTTTGTGGGTTCTCCTTCCAATGGGAGTACATCTGCTCGACGTAAGCATTGTTCGTGCCTGTCATAAACGTCTCACTTGGATGCGGCGTGGACGAAAAGACACGCGCGCAACGAGCGGTCATGGGGTTAGGGGCGACGCGAGATGAAGGAGCGATCCGCGCCGAGACAGAGGCGCGCACACTGCGACGCACAGTCTGGAGGAGCCACTGCTGCGTCATCTTGAAAATTACGGTATTTTATTTTCTCCCTTATTCCTGGCCGTAGACGACGGGAGGACTTTGGAGACTGAGGGCGGGGTGGGGCGTTGACTTCAATCGAGTATGTGGGAGTGCGTATATGCTTGATTGGAGGGAGGACGGAGGGCGGTGCGAGGTTTGTATCGAAATGAGTAGACACACCCGGTCGACTGAGAGTGTGGAAGATAATACTACGTGAATGGCTGTAATTGGTTGGCTGAAAGTAGGACGGATCCGCGGTCGTCGGTGCTATTGTGGACCTTTTGACGGCTGCAATTTGGGTATCAACGATCAAACGACTTAGAAAGAAAGACCTTTTTTTTTTCGTTTCTACTTCTCGTCGTTTCTACGATTGGACGAGACTGTTCGTAAACCGAGGTCACGTCAACGGTGCTTAGATGCAGCAGTCGTTCTGGAGAGTTATAGTTGCAGTTGCAGTATAACTGACATCATGACATGTCGGACGCATTTCAGCTCTCATTGTTCTTCTATGCAAGAAGATCCTACCTAAACTCCTTCGTGTCCATAATAGCGTCCTACTAGTCTTGGCGTTTGTACTGACCCGTGCCGCGCAGCATTTGGCCGATGCGGTCGTCCGCCAGTAGGTTCTGTAGCGACCAGGCTTCCACGTCGATGCTCTCGTTCACTCCTCTTGCCTTCCACGACCAGAAAGTATAGCCTCCTTCTGCCAATTCATGCACCTTGAGCTGTTCCTCTGCAAAGGTGTAAAAGAAGTCGGGGTTCTGACGGAGCATGTTGGAAGCCGTGGAAAAGCTCCACTCGCCAATGAACAACGGGTTGTGCCCCGGCCGGGCGTTCCACTTTTCCACACGCCCTTTGTACTCGGTCTTTAGCGACACATTCAACAAGTGCTCGTCCGTCTTGTTCTCGTAGCCCCATACAAAGTACGGGTGCCACTCGACCCAGACGTTAGTAAACTCAGGGGTTGTCATGAACCCCACCATCTCGTCTGGAATTTGCTTCGGCAGTGTCGGTGCAATGCTCAGCACACAATCACTTCCTGTGGACCGCACGGCTTGATACGCGTCCTGGTAGTATTGGTACAGCACGCTTTCGTTCGTGCTCGGACCAGGTTCGTTCAGGAGCCCGATTCCGAGGAACGCTTCGTCATTGAGGTATCGATCCGCAAGAACCCTGACCACCTCAATCGAGTTGTCGACGTTCTCAGAGTACTGACTCCAATACGACTGACCGTGACTCGGAGGTGAGGAATGCTCGGCACCGTTCTGCGACCCCTTAGCAGCGTGCAAGCTCAGGAGCACCGATACATTGTGCTTCACACCCCAGTCACGAATGAGGCGGTCGAGGTACTGGATCGTTCCTTTCGGGTACACTTCCCACTCCCGCTGGTTCGCTGGGTCCTGGTTGTCATACCCGACGATCCAGTACCCGACTGGCACTCGAACTGTATTGAGTCCAACTGCAGCGATCTGCCGGATATCCGACTCGGTAATGAAGTTCGCGTGGTGGTCACGCAGCTTCGATCGGACAAGGTCCGGATTCACAGCTTTCGTGATGGCCGTGTACTCACCGGAACCGACGTATTCGTCACCAACCTCTTGCCAGAACGGGGCGTCTCCAGTCATCCAGTTTTCAGCCACCAACCAGCCGCCAAGGTTCACACCTCGACTTTTTTCCAGACCCGCACGGATTTTTGCTTGCACGTGGGTAGTGTCGGTCACTGGTGCTTCCACTGGACTATCAGTGCTCATTCTGTCGTGAGCAAAAGCTATTGACGCTACCAACGTGGTGGAAAGGGTGATTGCGTGGATCAACATTGGTGTTACGGGTCAAGTGCCGACTGTTCTGTTCCTTGTGGTGCTTCGAGCGCAAGAAATTGAATGAGGATGGAACTCCATGGACCAGAGGGTCGTTCTTCTTGACCTTATAGTCAGACACTCTGAATCCGGTGGCACAGTACGTGCGACGACGGGAAGTTGGCCAGATAGCTGACTACGCACGGCCTATCTGACCTGACGAGAACCACTATCTTCGACCAAGTGGCCGACTCTGGCTTGGCTTTTGTAGCGAACGTCCTGCTGAAATTTCGAACGATGCGTGCGACAAGCGTGTTACTTCGCTTGACCTTCGCTGCTACACGTGCGGTCGACGTGTTGTAAGGGGTACCGCGTACTTTGATGTGAACCAGAAAGCGCTAGGTACTGGTTGCGTTCCATTTGTAGACGATCAATAGCTAGTGTACCAAGCAAGACCTGACTCAAGTGTTTGTGATGGCATCTGAGTCATTCACGCAGATGCGGTAACAACGTCATCTGATGTGTTACACTCAGGTTGCCAGCTCCATTCTACATGTACATGTGTGTCTTGTTGTGGTTTTCTCAGCTTTAGATTGGGTATGTTCACTGATAATCGACATCTCTCCATGTTTTCTCAGACGGCAAAGGGATGTCTGTCCCTTCAAGGCTTGAAGTACGAGTGTGGTCATGACATCCAAGATATCGTAATGGGGTGTGAGTGAAGCAACGGTCGTTCATGGACGAGCGACCAACTATGCATGGACAACATCGGGGATAGCTGAGCTTACAATCGATTCTTCCTCGCTCCTTGCCAACCCACTTTGGATCTACAGAGCTTGCTGTAACGTCAGAATAATGAAACGAAGCGATAACATGGATCCATGTTTCCGCCGTACAATGCGAGGCAGTTTTGTTGTTGAAAAATAAGCCCACGATGGTAGAAAGGTAGCTAGTAATCTGAGCATGGTGGTAAAGCTTTTGACCGCGCAGCTGGTTCATGACCCTGATCGAGACGGTTCACCGTAGATGCCCTGCTGATTCGAGTGCATGTTCTGCTTTTTTTCGGTGCGACATCCAAAGTACCGGTCGTAGCGTCCTTCTTCCAGTTCTTTAGGCTCAGGTAAAATGGTCCACCGCCTGAATCATCTCACCCTGATCCATCAGCTAGCCTGTCTAACTGCTATCTCCGACCGCATCTTCAGCGAAATACGTCGCCTGCACCGACGTTCTATTCCGTCTTTTTAAAAGGCGAAGGTGTTCACATGATAACACAAGCCAAGCATTTTTAAAGAAAACGCACGCCAGAAGCTGCACGAAGCCGCGATGAAACACAAATGAGTGAACGCAGAATTCGCAGGATCGACCTGTCGACGTAAAACGAATTCCCTGGTGGCCAGTCGTGTCACCAGCTTCTGCAATGCGTGAAAGAGAAAGAGTGCGATAAACTGCTGTCAGTGAGACCACGAATTCGCTCAACGTGGACAACTATCAATTACGCACCACGACATCGCTGATAAGTCGCCGTGGTTTACAGCCAAGTGCTGAACTTTGACAGTGCTAAGTGGGCCAGCGAATTAGTGACGACAACCTTTAAATGAATGGACGTCCAGCGCACGTAGATAGTGGGTAGTTAGTTACTCTTCACATGCATGCTTACCACACTTTCGTGACGCTGCAACAAGAAATGTGCGTGCCTTTCGTGGCCAAGTGCCTTTGCAACCCAGTTGTCAATACCCAGTACGATTTCCTTTTAGCATCTGCATTCGTAATTGTACTTTCAGTAGAAAAAAGGTGCGGGAAAAGGTGTCTTTGGAGAAGTCTCCGCACTCAAGGGAACAGCAGTGGAGATATACCTGGTCTTCCTGAGTACCCGTCGAACGAACGGCCATTGCAGTGGTGACAACGGGCCGTGGTATGCGTGAGAGATAGCGTCAGCAGGATCCGACCAACCCCTTAACTTCCGTACCGTTGCAAATGACACATCCAAAACACCAGCTATCGACGTATCACTCAACTATGAACGCAACATGAATCGCCCTCTCTCTCTAGACGCGGCGAAAGACCTCAGCTAAGTAATTAGGTTTTACCGCAGTCGTATTCAGTACAAGACCAAGCGACTCTGAACTATTGCACAAGAGGCTTCGTGGCACCTTCAATGTAAGATCTTGATGCATGTGGAATGGAAGACCAGCTGTCCTGTACACTCCCCTCAATCGTATCGCTGACGTTCAATTTATAGAGCTGTAACTTCGATCGTACTTTCACATGTGTTGGAGAGTCAAGTTGGTAAAAAGTAGGGCTCGTGAGTGGAACAGTTACGACGATCAAGAGCATCACGTTCGCCTTACCATATGATGGCGGTGCGTGCTCTACGGTTTAAAAGGTGCGTGAGGGGACCCGAGACTGTAAGTCGATTCTCAACAGTGTAGTGGTAGGCTGGTGCTGTTGTAAGTACTGTGGAGGCAGACAATCGAGACAGACTGACTTGCTACGCTCGAGACTACAACCTGCCGGCACGGTCTAGACAAACATGACAATCGATGATCGGATCTATTTGCCAGCAAGAACAATGCGGTGACGAAATCCATTTGCCAACTGCGATGCCTGGTGGACTGGCGAATGAGAGCGGACAGTCCTCAGCAGCTGGCAAGTGGATGCTAGGAGCAGTGAAGCGACCGGATGGTGTGAGATGCGAGCTAGATTCCAGACTGTCTCTTACCCTATAAGGTATAGAGTGGTAATGCGCCACTCGAAGACTTTGTTAGGATGTGCTCGTACCATAGGTAATGCAGAAACGATGAGACGTGATGGTCGTTGCAAGGTTACGCCAAGGTGCTGCAAGCAGACTGCTTTGTGACAATTCTGTCCACGAACGCGGTGAGTTATCGTACTGAGCGACGCACTGCAGGAGCGTGTTTACAAAGACTTGGAATAGTATCACGTTGGGCTTCGTAGTCATTATCGCACGACTTGTAAACAAAGTACACCAACGTTTTTAGGATCGTAAATTAGCCATAACATCAGCACGTGGACGTATCAGCTTTACGCATAGGTCGCTGAGTCGGCTTGGCCGGTACTTCTTTCTCATCATCATTGGATCATTAGAAGGTGTCCAAACGCATGGGCCTTTTTAGTCAGCCGAGAACTTGGTCAACGATTAAAATCTGCCTGTGTTCCGTGGGCGAGCTCAATTTGAACCGGCTGTCAAACAATCACAGTGGTTTTGATGATCGGGGCTCGTTGTCTCTTGGATTGTGCTGGACATTAACACGCGCCAATGCAACAGACATCGGCGCTTACAAATGTCCAGGATATCTGTGGTGTTTCACGGTAAACAGCACTACCGCATCTGGTCGTAAGTCCGCTAAAACATCACGAGGAACATTGGCAATTTGCAACAAGAACCACCTCACCGGAAAAGTAAACAATGCGCCATTCATCCCCTCCCTTGTCTCTACGGAGACTTTCGTATCTACTCACTCTATCTGGAGCGACGCGGACTGTATCAAGCGCAACTACGATGTTTGTCGTGTCATGTATCGTAGATGCAGATATCTAGTTTTCATTGCTATCGTGCGGGGCGAACGCGAAACGATGAGTCCAAAAAGCGGTGGACTGTTCTACTTCGATCACATTGACCACCGCATTGCCTAGTCAACACGAATTTCTCAAACGCATCGTGCGGTACGTGAGCTAGTTCGAACGTCGATATCGACCGAGCCCACGAACGGAGTAGATCTCGTTGCGAAAAACGCGTTTGCACGCTGACCGGACCTAAACGTGGCGAGTTCATACGTGAGAATGTCTAACGTTGTTAGGGTGCGAGCATCAGAAACGACAATTATCGTAGAAGTCACATCTACACGTAGATGTGATACTTTTCGATCCCACATCAGACGTACGGCAGTGCACTGCAATGACAATATTAGCTACTTCAGACGTTGACAACTATCGTAGGATTTACCTATTGCTTAGGCAGTAACGAACTAAAGACCTCCATTCTAGATTAATTAGTGTTTACTGTGGTTGAAATGGACGACTCGCCGTAATTGCATTTCAAGTGCCTGCACACGTCCATAGAAGTATGCCGCCAAGACTTTGGCTGTTTCTACATGGGTCATACTGGTGTCTCCATTAAGAATAAATATCGATACAGAATCATGCGAAGACTGGGTGACTCATCAACTTGATCATAATCAATATCTTCCAGCTGAATCAATACGCTGTTGATACATTTCGTCCGTAGAACGTCTATCCATTGCCGTCGCCTTTTTCGAACGCTGTGGTCAAAATCGTAAGGTTTCTTCCGGTTCCAGACCCGAGCAGATCGTCCAGTACGACAAGATATGTCGCTCGTTGATCGCTGCCTAGCTCTGGTACAAATTTCTTGACTTTTTGTCGTCCCTGTAATCAATCATACTCACAAAGATTAGTCTTTGCTTTTGTGGCACCTTCCGGGATGATGACGAGCATGATCAAAGCAGTCAATCTGTTCGTGATGTGGATCCATACATACGAACCTTCTCGTTTTCATATACTGGACCCCCTCGTGCTGAGCTGATTGCGGCCTTACACAAACCGGGATGCGATGTCGACTACTTGTCGTTCTCAAACTGATGTTGCCTCTTCAATACGAAATGAGCGCAACCAGACAACAAATGCCAGTAATTCCAAACCTTTACCGCATAAGTTTCGAAGAAGAAGTTTCAAACAGCTACAGCTGGATCGCACTGAACCAGGACACTCGACATCAAAATCTGTCTGATATCGGTCCTTCCTCGGCTCTGGCGTCGGCGACCGACTGCGATTAGGTAAGCCAGTCATGTTAGGGTATACACGACTGCTGGCGAAACTTCCACATATATTGGGCGAGACGGTCGAGAGTGTTGGTTAGCGCCAAGTCCCAAGCTGCCAATTATTACTTGTCTCGTCGAGCTTCAAGTCCTAGTCCCATGAGTCAGGTCGCAGCCGCAAAGGATAGCTCAAGTCGCAATGTTTGGGCCAAAAAGCGATCGATCTTCCGACCGACTGATAACGCGCACGCTAGCGGTGAGGTGTGATTTTTATGCAGCCCCGATGCGGATCAGACGGCTTGGATCATCTGACCCCATGCAAATGGCGCGACGACAATGCGTTCAGTAAAACGTTCTGGCTCCAGGAAAGGTTATACGCGCTCGTCATTTGCTCTCTGTTTAGCAAATACCTACTACCACCAAATGGTAATACTTTCTGCTGTTGTTGTTCAATAAAGACGCCCTGTCTCGTATGGTAGTAGATCCAGGTCCCATAGCTCACACGGAACAAAAGCCTGAAGAACCAGATAAGGGGACACGTCATTAGCCACGTCGCCCAGCCCTACGAAAACGTAGTCACCTTCGCCCGGTCTTGTTTCAAGCCCATAAAAATGCTGCTGTCAAGGCCAAGCTTCATACGACAGGTATTCGTCCATACGCCCAAATTAGAAGAAAAATAGAGAACCTTAAGCGCCGTCCACTCGCTCGATCCAAGACATTCATGAAGTTTTGCAGCGACTCCAAGTCACTTGCGTAAAACAGCAAACCAAAATCGACCTTCACATTGTCGCACTCTTTAAATGACTTTATCATCGACACTCCAGCTTCAATTTTTCGGTGACCATTCACTAGACAACAACATGTCTAGTCCACAAAGTCGTGCTAATCGAGATGGGGACAAAAACGCAGATCCAAAGCTGCAATGCACGGTACCCAGTAATGGCAAGTGGTCGAGCTTAAAGCGTGATGACTTTCGTCTTATTGGCACTCAAAACACTGGTGCTTCAAACGCGTACACAAATTATTATTCGTCGGCAGCTCATGCGGTTAACACAATGGCTGCTGTGTCATCGGGACTTCAAGGCGGTCTGAGTAGCTCACCAAACATCCCTGTCACGAGTGATGCAATTGCTCGAGGCGGACCTTTCGATCATGCGGATTGGAACATGATATCGGCAAATTCGTTCGATGAAACATACATGGAAGGAGACTACACGAATGGTGGGATGCCACTGGGACCTTCATCCTCTTCTTCTGGTCTTAATCACCTTAACGAGCCAATGAACAAGCTCACGCTGGATAATGAAGATCACGATATGCCCGTCATTTCAATGCCGTATCCAGGCACCAATTGGTTCATGGGCGATAAGACAGAGTCTGGAATCGGCAATGGAATTCCCTTGCCGTCCTTCGGAGGACTCACTCCTCGTACGCAAGCGGTATGTGCCGCAATGGCGGGAAACAGTTCTGCATTTAGCTCGAGCTCTTGTACCCCAAACTTTCACCATGGGGGTGCAGACTACTCGAGTGCATCTGACAGAATTGTTGGTGATGTGGTGTCCAGCTCAGCTGATGTTGCGTGTCTAGTTCGAATGCAAGGCTTTACTCCATGCCTTCCGCACAGTATGGAGCCTTCTGAGCTGCTTTTCGAAGACATGAACACCTGGACGGGGACGGCTGCAGACGCTTACGATAGTCATCATTACAACCAACAGCATGCCCACCCATTCTTCCCTGCACCATTAAACACAAGTGCAACAAACGGATACGCCTACTATGACGACACGTCTACCACGTCCAATTGTGCGGTGCCAGCATCACACGTTGCCCATGCGCCATCGCATCAGCGCCATTCACTGCTTCCAACCATAACGACTACTTCACCACTCCATCGACCGACACAAAGTCACGAAGAAGGGTTTCCCTCAAACAGTAATTGGCCGACGAATCAAGCTTTCCGCCAGTCGACCCCCGCTACAGCTTGCACAGCGCCAGGAGGCACAGTCAAGAAGTTGGGGGTACATGTTGATGCAAATCGTCATGGAAATCGGCAATCCAATGAATCAGTTTTCCCCACCGAAGCCGGACAGACGATTAAACATCTACAGCGCCCGTCGACACTCAGCCAACCCACAAACGCCCGCTTACCTGCTACAGGTGCTGCCCCGGACGCAATAACTGGAGAGGCAAATGGTCTGGTTACAAACCAGTCTGCAAAAGTTCAGCTGCTGACAGCTTTGAATGATTGTTACTGGAAAAATGGACGGAAAAACTTGCAGTGTTTCCCATCGTGCCCCGAACACCACGACTTCTACTCGATGAAGATGAACAATCGTAAACATTCAAGCGTGGGTGTGTGCCGTGGCCCCGTATATTGCCACGCATTCACAAATGCCTCTGAGTTCTTGCCAGCGGCGTCGACACAGCAAATGAAACGCAACAGTGACATGGGGGGTTCGTGTAGAGGTAGCAACGCTCGCGAAGTATTTGTACTTGGTCGTTTCGAAAGGGTGCCCCAACAAGAGTCGACAAATCTCCTGGAAGAATTGAACGTGCCACCTTCGTTCCCGAACGCTGCAGTCTTCGAGCAGTTTCGTTTCACATGCTTTCAAGCCGTGGAAATGGAAGAGCGTCGGGTACTGCTGCCAGAATCACCTCACGACCCGTCCATGAAGGTTTCTGTCTCTGCCAACTTATCATCAAGATCTTCAGACGGCCTTGCTTTCACCCAGCAGCAATTTATCCGAAGCACTTGGTTCTTCTTGCCCGATGTGTGGAAGGTGCAGCCCATGCTTAAAAAGAAGCGCAAGGCCACACGCTCCGCTCCGGCTCAGACGTTCCCCTTCTGCTTCCGCATCTTCATATACACCCGCAATGTTGACGGTCCTGGATATTCATGCGTTGCGAACACGGCCTCTACCTTTTTCGAGCTCTACTCGACGCGAACAGTGGACCGTGTCAAACGCAAGTATTGGAGTGGCGATGGCTCGTCAAGAGGCGCGAGTCAGAGTTCAAGCAAGTCGCACGGGCTTCAGCAGTTTTAGTCTTCTCCACTGTTTCTTCGGTCTTCATAGAAAGTAAAAACTTCGTATTAATGCCGGTGAGATACACCGCGATATTGAAGCACGGTCGTGCTGTGAATACACCCCGATGTAGGTCACGACATGCCACCTCCAGTGACCACTTGCATCCTAGCATGCGCTAGAACATAAAGAACTGAGTTCCAAGGCTAGAACATGAAGTGGTTGGTATGGACGAGACCGATTCACACTCATCAGGATCTGCAAACATTGAATCCAACGCGGTAAAAACAAACGCCATCGCCGACACGAACACGGACCTTGAGCCAGAGCAACAGGCGTGGGGCTTCGTCATGAGCTAAGATGCCCCTCCCTACACCGTGTGATGAAGTTCCCTGCCACCCTGCAGTACATGCTGCTATGCAAGTATACCACATGAACAACATCGCTATCTGTGCAAGCTGAAACCATTTCGTTCCCCATTCACTTTTAGCAAGACAACCTTCAGTATTGTTAGCTAAGAAGAAGCGGAGCAAAATCAATAGGAGCAAGTACCTATTGCAACATGCACAAGTGCGATTCTTACACAACCCTTGCAACTTGAGCCAGCACCTTCAAGGAAGCCTTCGCGAATGTCGTCACAGGGTCAGAGCTGGCTTCACTTGGGACCGAGCTCGCAGACGTATGCGCGTCAACAAACTCTTGCTCTTCATCACGCGCGACCTTGAACAACTTCCGAATTTGTCATCAGATCGAATATAAGTCTACTGCAATGAGAAACAAAGAATCCACAACAATACATCGATCCCGGTATGCTCACCTCCTTGAGTTCGACCATTCCTGCTTTGCTCGCGTAAATCTCACGAATCTGGTCGTTGTAGAAGTCGCTTATCGCCATCTTCACTCCCGTCACGTACGACGTGCTGATAGTATCCCCCAACGTGCTCAGCACGCTGCCTGAAATCATTATAATTGATTACTGCACACCAGAACTGCAAAAAAAACTCCACACTATTACACACGGTGAATCTCACCTGCAGCCAAACTGCCAAGCTCCATAGCAGGGATCACCAGACTCGGTCGGAACCGAAAGTCTTTGGTGCGCACACCTTTCTCAATGCGTTGCACTGCCTCGCGTTCAATTCTTTGCAGCTCCTACAGCAAAAAGTAAAGAAATTTGATTACGACATACGCACCATTTCTAATGCTTCCAAATGTTTTTCAGCACAATAACAATAATGGTACACACCTTTAGTTTCTCAACATGCGAGCTCGAGTATGTTCGAATCACTTGAGAAGTCGCTACCTACAATCATGACCCAAAATTACAATTATTGTGTTCTAATTTGTAGCGTATTAAATCTGACAGTACGAAAAAACCTTGGCGTTCAACAGCTTCAAGCTAGCGATCTGGAGCGCGTGGCCGCCGCGCAGCATCGCACTGACCTCAGAGTCCTGCTTTTGCGGGTGCGTGGGCACGTCACCACAGTTCTTCTCCAGCCAGTTGGGCCGCGCGTGGGCAGAGAACGCACGGCGGGCGCCGGTCAGACTGCGAGCTGTAATCATTTTAGACATCGTATTGTTTACGAGAGGATGGCGAGGCGCTAGGTATTAAGTTGTAGACAGACCTGTAACAATTTATACGCGCTCTGCACGAGCGACTCGTCGTGCCATGACCAGCTCAACTTCAACGTGGTACAGTCAGTTCGGGTAACCGTCATAGACGAAACAGTGTATCTCCTATGCATCGTCGTAACCAGCGCACATTCTGCATAGGACGTGCGATACTACTATTGTTGCCGTAGTGTGACCACTATAGCAAAGCTTTGTACTTCTTACTTGACTCTATCCTGAGTAGGTCATGCAGCTGTCATCGGGTGAGTAACGCTCTCGATGAACCCTGCTGTTGCTGCTTTTGCTGTTGTCGATGGCCAACTGTCGTGTATTCAGCGGTGAATCTTCAATTGTGACGTTGACGCATAGCACAAAACAGAAGGGTTTGCCAAGACTAACTCGAGGATACACAGGTCTTGTGTTTACCTGAAGAAGCGTGTTCGCCCCGTTGATCAGCCATACATGTGGTCGATAATGGCGACTTTTAAGCTGTCTGTCTGATACTCGGACCTTCACGTCTGCCTTTACAAAGGTGAGACGCGCGATGGCAACAATAAGCCCTTCCGACCAACTTTGCCACCATTTTCTGCTCAGTGCTGGCGTCCTGGCTGGACATTTATATGAATCAAATTTGCAGTGCCATCAGACTGCTTACAAGCTGCAACACCAAAGATGCCTTTACGTGACGGGGTCGAGAACGAGAGTGATGACGAAGGTGGGTCAAAGCATCTTACTCGTCTCAAGCGCTCCCACAAGTAGTCCCTCAACAACTACCAATGGTACCGTCGGAGGGCTTTATTGCTTCCCAATTATCGCATCGCACGCCATTGTCTGGACAATGAGTTAACTTATTGACAATGGCGGGTCGAAAAGCGATGGATGCTATCACCTACTATCAATCGAATATCTTCGGAGTTCAGGTCACCACGATACAAAGGTGCGCGCTTGTTGATCTTGGTTACGTATCAAGCTGTGCGCAGAAGCTAAGCTCAATCAGCGGGATATGATTTGCGCACGGGTTTTGCTCGAATTGTGCAGCGTGCGTCACACAGAGTCAACAGTTGTGAATGACGTCGCTATGTGCGCGCAAAAGGCAATAGTCACTTCCAAAAACTCCGTTAACGGAAGATGGTGATGACTTCCGGACCAATGAACCAATGTGCGCCTGATTCATGCTGTGTTTGGGTAGGCTACATGTCAAAGATCATTCATCACCACAACTGAGAAGCCGTTCTTCCAGATTGCGTATTCCCGAGGTAAGTAGCACTCAAGTCGTCTACATGGCCGGAAGGTATGTTGTTTTTCTTAGATTAAATTTAGATCGACTGCATCCGTAAGAGAAGAGTATGTATGGACGAAGAGGGATTTTTACGCCAATGTCGGTAAGTCCGTGAACAGCTAGTGCTGATGTCCATGTACAACAGCTCCCCATAGACTGTAATCGCTTGTCCGGCTTCATTCACCAACAACTAAGACGCATACTCTTGCCAAATGCTCGATCCCTACATATCTTACGCAATAGGTGCAAAGACCTCGACCCAGAAGCAAGTGGATCAGCAGTGCTGAAGCAGCAGTGCTTGTCTGTGACACTGGGTAGACGAACCCACGCTCATACTGCTTTCTTTCAGCTGAAAGGTTGCACCCCAATGTGCTCAAGTTTACGAGACGCTAGCGCTAAACTCGATACACAACTTTACGTTTGCAACTCTGTCTGTGTAACCTGCCTCGTCGAGCCGTAGAGCACAAACAAAAATGTTTGAACTCGACGATCTGTACGTATCAGGAATGGTGTAGTATGACGTAGAAAGTTTGCCTGCAGAAGAACGGACCATCCCTACTTTCAAATAACGTGATACGACTTGGCACGCTCGTTTTCCGCCCGAAATTATGACGCGGAAACAGAATTGTAACAGTTGTAAATAGCTTTTCCCCGCATTTTACAAGAGCAAACAGTCTTACTCTGAACGCTATGATAATCCCGATGCAAACCTTGAGAAGCAATCAAATTCATTCAACTTATCGATAACACTTGGCTGGATGGTAAATGTATCGTTGTCAAGGTCGCTTATGACGACAGCGAAGCCCCTTCGACCGTAGGTCAGCCCATGAATGTGCTGTAATGCTTGCGTACATTGTGCCACGTGCATATTGAAGAGCGTTGTATCTTAGCTCGGTAGCAAGTCAACGTGTCACGTACAATGTAGCGCGAAGTTATCGCAGAGTTAACAATGTGTTGAAAGGTCATTAGCGATGACCTATGTTCGTCACGCTCACACGATTCAAAGCAAGCGCTGACACGAACCGTACTCAACTGTAAACTGGTGTCCTACGTATCGCTATGCGTTCCAGCTGCACGATGCAATACCATCGTGTTCGTGGTGTGGCGTTAGCTATCCGGGACTCACGTTCGTCGTCCATAGACCAAAGCAATCCGCGCAGCGCTTTAATAGTGTGTGATGCTGGTGTGCGTCAAGCACACGACAGTCGTGCTTATACGATGACACCGATGCCGATGAAACGACGATCTCGTCTGACTACAGCTTCTTGATATTCTGCTAGCAAGACGTACTTTTGCGCGCTACAAGATTCGTGTGAATACTTACTGCTGTTCGTTATGGTCTCAAGCTCGGGTGAAGGCGGAGACGTCACATCAGCATTCTGCAAGACTCAACAAATGCTCTGAAACAGATGTAACGGGATCACTTGTGGAGCCATTGCGCTGAACAATGTACTCTGCAGTCGAATTGGAAAACAACTTTGTCAAGCATATCATAGGAGTTCACATTATGATTTAATCGTGTCTGGCTGGTGGCATCCTATGTGCAGCTTCCGACTCACTTGCGTATGTGTTGTGGAGCACCCGTAGATTAATATAGTCATGACTGGTCATACAAACGAATGAAGCACTCCATAGAAATTGCAGATACTGCAACTTTATGGCATCTTTATGACTCTAGATATCCCCCTATGATTGATGGTCGATGTTGATCGCGGTAGCGCTGAGTCGTGTAAGCCAACTGCAATCAGGATTGGCGCTCCGTCCCGCGCAGGATGTTGCGGGACGAAATCATTGAACATTTCACACTACACATATTTTTATTAGCGGCCAGATCTGTGGACACATTATCGCCTTCGCATGCGTCGAGGGTACCAAAAAATGAGGAATACAATCAAACGGTGACATTCTTCGCTATGTTATCGATGCTTACCTGCTACAACAAGGGTAGTAGCTCAATGCCTTATCCGCTTGATCCTAATCGGTGCTGCTGATGGCAGACATACACAAGAAGGGCTCTTTCAAACGTGGTGGTCGCGGCATTACTCAGGTTTGACACATGTATCATCATCAATGCAGTCGACATTTCGTGAGTAGCGACGCCTCGGAGGATGCTTTTGGCTAACATTTTAAGCTAATGCGATTGCTCATTGGCGACTTTGACGTTAGGTGGAACAGTCCAACCTCTTGGCGGGGCTTTTGAGCAATCGAGTTGCAACTAAAAGAAACTTACCTTTGCCATAGATTAAAGTCGCGAGGCCCCAGTAGTCTAAGGATGTTCGTCGAGCCGTCGCTAGGCGCAACCAAATCCACTTTACAAGCATCTGTCATGCCCGGATGCATGCATACCTCGGCAGAAAGGTAAAAAGAATGACAGCATATACTGCATTCGACGATGAATACATGTAAATTAGATGACGCATTCATTTTATGCTCACTTGATTCCCATAGAATTTTACGATCGTAAGAAATAATAGAATGTCGACTTTGTATACTAAGATGATTACAGAAAGCGGGATGTGCAGAACGCGCGGGATGGGACCGGCTCATCCTGCTTCCCGTCCCATGCAGGACAGGATGCGGGATGGGACGTTGCAGGACGGAGCCCTAATTAGGACCATGCAAATCGGATTTCGAAAGAACACTCGTGTGCATTTGAATCAGAAAACGTCGGACAAAGAGTGAAGCATCCGGATCACTCACAAGAAGCCGAAGATCCCGCAGAAAAGAGCCACAAGCAACGACACCGAGGTGTAGATGTGGCTACGAACGAAGTCAGTCGTGTTCGTGCGTACCATAGTCAAGTCATATTCATCACGGCGGATAGTACAAGTTCTGTTCACCATAGTGGCTCCTTAGTTCCGCGCACATGCATTTACAGGCTGCGATTGCTCGTGTCATGTGGACTGTTAGAGCTCTGGCTCGGAAACGGTGTACTGGATAAGTAAGAGACATGCCGACGACGGCACCACGTCAATGGATCAGCTTCAAAGAGCTTTATCCGAACATACGTCGGAGATTTGCACCGCAAGCGTCGACAGCAGCACCACAACACATTCGGTTCAGCTGCCCATCCACTTTTATCTGTCTACTCTATCGACACATCCGAAGGAGTAATCCGACGCAATGTCACGTGTCGCTCATCCTTTTGGAACTCACTTGACCCTTGTAGCGGTGTTCGGTCTCGATGCAAAGTCCTCGTTATTATCGCACCTGCACTTCGGATCTGTGGCAGTTCCCGCTCCCGTCGGCCTTCGCCAATGGACGGTAGATAGCACATTACGGGCTCTGTCGCTCTCAGCTCCGTCATTGTGCAATTTTCCGGCCATTCGCCATGCGTGTTCACTTGGCTGCTCTGATCGTTTCGGGGTTCCCTTTTGCATCGACCGCTGCAGTTCTCCACATCAGCGAGCCCGGCTCCCTCCGTATAAACACCAATGGAGTCGGTCCCGTTCGACGGCGACTACAGCCGGACCCGAGCGATGGCGAAGAGAGAGAAGGAATTCCAGCAGCACTAGAAGCGCACTTGACCGAGCATGTTGCACTCACGACGTTTGGCTTGGAAAAGAAGTCAGCAGCTCCTTTTGCTTGGCCCCATCGTATCGCACGAGACTCGGACATTCCTCTTGACTATAAGCGCATCGTCTACGACTATGCCTCGACCTATGAGGTGGAAGATTTGCGTTCGATGAAAAGGCTGACGACAACGTACGGCGACGTCGTGGTGGCGGAGACGATCAATGCGCTGAAGAGCGCCGAGAGCAAGGTCGTTCTTGATTTCGCGGCCGAAATGCAGCGCAAGCAGCTTCGGTTGTGGAAGGAGGAGGGGCTCGAATCTGACGGCCTGTTTGAGCTCCTCAAGCTCAACGAACGGTTTCCGAAGGAAGATGTGCACACCAGCCCGTCGGCAAGACTTGCCTCGCTTCTCAACGACCCGATCTTTGCAAGTTGGAAAGCATTTGTTCACTACTGGAACAACGTTGACCCGGTGGGAACGATGATCGAGACGCTGGTGAAGTACTACGGCGACGACGAACTCGTGAAGAGACTCGCTAACGTTAAAGATGTCGAGGATTCGAAGGACGTGGCTATGAAGCTCGGCAAGGTGCAGAACCTTCTCGACAGGATGGACCGACAGAAGAATCCGAAGGAGTACGCCACCTGGGAGTCCCTCCGGGATTTCTATGGCCTGCACCTCAAGTTGTTCCGAGACGCAGAATCGCAGACACGCCACGACGTCCCGAAGTGAAGTAGAAACCAGCGCGTTTCTCTCTGCTTTTCTTTTGAACAAGCGGTTGCTGCTCATGTGTTGAACAAGTTCGTCCTTTAGTGTATCTGTAGCAAAGCACAGAAGAGCTTGGCCAATACAGCCGTCGGAGTCCCATAACATGCAGAATAGGGAGAAGTGGAACGTGTGTAAGTACAGTGCTCGGTCTAAACCCGATTGGTGTAGGATAAGTCGACTACCGCTAGTGTGACGCCGCAAAGAGCAATATCCAGATGTATGGTTGTGGGTATCCTGGGCTCGTCGTGCAGTCTCGTCCTCGCAAAATGCGACCAGATCTGCTTGCACGTATGTTCATGACACTTCATGAGCTTACGTGATGTAGGACGCGTAGCAATAATTCTCTGAAGCCATTAGACGGCTCGGCCACAGCTTTAAGGATGCTATCTCTAGAAGCACTCCATTCACAAGTGCATCCATCCTGTATGTTGCAACAAGACTGTGACTGACCGTATCTCAAGCACAATGAGAAGTGCAACAATTGACAAGGTGCAAGAGCTCTCTACGTAGTGAACATATAGTTGCGGTCCGGTCATTATCATCCCGACTGCTACTTAGGCCGATCAAGCGAGGATGTTTGACATGGTCCTTACCTTGATAGTTTGATCAGTGACTCTTGTCAGCAATCATACCAAGCTGGATTTCAAATGTCACGTCAACCGTCGTCGAGGATCTGTAGTCAACTATCGACTGCTTACTAAGTTGTTGTGGAGGCCCTTAAGGACTCACCGGACTCGACAATCAGAGCAGTCACGGTTTCATTGATAGACAATGCAAATAGTCTCTCTCGAAGTCCCTTTCTAGTGCCTCGGGTAAGCAACGCCGTTCCATTCACATGAATACCGGATTGACCCCCCGCCGTACGACCAACCTGAGGTAATCTCCCGACATCGAATAGTGGGGCTCTGGACTGGCTGGAACCCCTGAGAATCCAGTGAGTAGTGGCCATCCAGTTGGCGATGTGGAGACCCCGCTGAAGAGGGCAGTCGCCGGTCGTTAGGAATACTAAATGGACCCACTGCACCTACAAAAAATAGCCTCTCTCTACTAGGTCAATTGGCTAGTAGTATATGCTGGAGGTCATCGAGGCACTCTACCTCTCAAACAAACGTAGACATTTGCCGCTGATCACTACTTTATATCGACGACTGGTCATTACCACGGCTAGTACAGCGGTCACCATTGGCATTCCGGTTTTTTTACTCGACCAAAGACTGTCATCGTCTTTGTGCTTATATATGTAATACCTGGCACGTCATGCGTACAAACTTGATCTACAAAGCTGACGTAGGAGCACCTCCTATTCTTTGCCGGATCAGCTCATCAATCAAACGGTACACACGCTTTATCTTTGTCAGTTTCTAGTATCGTGGTCTCGACGATAGGTAGGCGGCCGTTTTTATAAGCCCTGTCGTAAATGTCAGTGACGATCGGTCAAAGATACAGAGACTACCGTTTGGTGGCATACCTTGAAATGACTAGCCCATGTCGTGCAATTTTATGGGTTTGCTATTGGGCATGAGTGCATAGCTCGATGCGTTTGTCGAGAGTATGATGGTCACGGAGCTTTTGTGTGATTCTCGCACACGTCTACCCAGTGATGAAGTACCGGTCAGGAAAGTGCCAGACATGCATGGGAATGTCTAGCGGACGGCTGCAAGTGGCATGTACAGTATATGCTGTAGCAATCTCTCGGTAGACAACTTCGAGTGAGCGAGCAGCTACAACTTGTTGTCTTGCATGAGACCGCGCGACAACACGTGCAAATACCATTCTGGAAGCTCTACCACAAGCGTGGCGAACAAGGTGCCAAGTGGACCTCACGCGGCTATTTGCGCTGGGTGCCCAATTGGTTTACGATAGCTTCAGTACTCAAACATGCCTGAACACCACTCCTATCCCATCCTGTTCAACGAGAATATCCACAAAACGGTCCTGACCCTGCAATGCTCTTCCGTGCATCACAGCGTAACCGCTTGTAAAGTGCTGCTGCAGTATCGTCAACGAACCATCAACAATGAGTGTCCAGTAACCGAATAGTGGCCCGATACAATGAACAAAGAAACCAGCTTCTGTCCCGGCGACGATAGACCACCCGCAGCTACAATCCACAATGACAGCGTGCCGGTTTGAATCCATTTCACAATCCAACGTCGAGTAAATTACGGTGCAATATTAGTGAATCAGCGGCTTCAAAGGCGCTGCGCGCGTCTGATCGTCAAGCACTTGCTCTCGAATACTGTCGGGCACGCCACCAATCACCGATCTGCCCAGTCACCAGCAAGAGCATCATCCATATCAGTTCATCAGCCGTCAATGCATCCATCCAGTACAAACGACTAGTAGTACGCCAACACGTACATATTGTCGCCGCGCACAATGTAAAGGCCGAGCTCGACGGCCTCCACGGGTTCCTTGAGGGAGAATACACGCTCGAAACTATCGGATAAGATCACGTTCACGCACTGATCAAAGCCCTTGAGCACGCCCTGCATTCACAAGGTTGTACGTAAGTTCACCGTACTTAGCAGAGCAGCACTTGGCTTGTCCATACCAGGAGTCGAACCCGACCCTCTTTTTGTATGGAACGTACAATAATATTGCGGCCATCGTTCGTAATCACCGAAATCGTCTCTACATGCCACAAAAAAACACTCAGATAAGCACCACAGCATACCCAGCACTCTCCTCGATCCAAACGGCCACGCATAGCTGCGTGGTCCAGTCCTGTACGCCACTTACGGTCCATCATCTCCTGCAAATACGCTGCCATCTCGAGTATGTCGTAGTTTGTGTACGCCACACTTGTGTACGCCATCCTGGTGTGTGTAGTTCGTGTCCACCACACCACACTGAGTTCTAGCCAATCCTCGCGCAGCATGACTACATCATGGGTGGCCAAACGTCGCGCATGCTGCGCTCGATCGTCGAGGACTCGACGTACATCATCCGGCAGACGAACCACAAGACGTACCAGCGCAGTCGGGCAGCACATGAAGAGGTCCAGTCCAAGCTCGAGGATCTCCAGCGTCTCAAGCTCGAGATGCTGCAGTCTGCTGAGCGCGACGCGCAGCGCTCCCAAGTCTTTGAGTCGTTTGAAAACACGGTGGAGAAGCACAAACTGGCGCTCGATGAGCAGGTACTACCTGCTGCTATGGTCATTTTCTCCCTCTCTTTTGTTGTTCATTGCATCGGATTGAGAACCGATCGGTAATGTACTTGTTGCTGCACTAGACGGAGGAATTTATCAAGCAGTTTGAGCTCCCCGAGAGCTGCCACAAGATCGCTCATGTTCATCGCCATGACATGCACGAGACCAAGCAACAGGCAGAGAAAGAAGCTCCATATGGAGTGCTGCACACGAAGGAAGATTGAGTGGAAACCAGCTGCAGTTACGTGCTGTGACGGACAAGGAACTTACAATGGGCAAGGGTTGTTTTTAGACTCTACTCACTACTACTGTCACTACTCTCTCTCTCTACACTACTAGACAGTGGATTCGCAGTGCTGCACAATCCACGGATGCGCCAGCACACGCTCTAACGGCATGCGCTGCCGCGGGTCGTGGCGCAATATCTTCAACAACAGATCTCGAGCATCCGACGATATGTGACTCGGGAATATAAGGTCTACGTGGGCGATGCGGCGGTACGTCTCTTTTGCGTTCTCGGTCTCGAATGGAGGCGCACCTGTCAGAAACTCGTACATGAGGATGCCGAGTGTCCACACGTCCACGTTTTCATCGTGGGGTTTGTTCTCAATCATCTCAGGTGGGAGGTAGTCTAAAGTGCCGCACAGCGTCGTACGTCGCGAAGACGGCGCGTGCACTGACCAGCCAAAATCTGCAATCTTGAGCTCACCATGAAACCCAACGAGCAGATTCTCGGGCTTGATATCGCGGTGGATCACGTGCTTGCTGTGCATGTAGATCAGAGCATGTGCCATCTCCTGAATGTACAGTGCCGACTGTTTTTCCGAGAAGCGTCCCGATCTCTGCAGCTTCTTGTAGAGCTCTCCCTGGGGCGCGTACTCGATGATCAAATACACGCGCTTGCTGTCGTAAAAGTAGCCATACAGCCTCAGGATGGATCTGTGGCGCAAGTGCGACTGGATCTCAATCTCCCGACGCAGCTGGTGTTCCATGCTCGACTTGATCAGCTGCTGCTTGTTCAGCACCTTGAGCGCCACCACGTACTTGGACCTTTTCTCTCGAGCCAAGTAGACGTTGCCAAACTTGCCTTTTCCAAGCGGTTTGCCGATCTCAAAGTCGCTGAGCTTCCACGTCTTCTTCGACTGCGACGACGATGAAGTCGAAGCAGACGGTACTGCTGCGTCCACATCCGTGCCAGTCGTTTTCTCCAGTTTAGCACTGCTTGCATCTAAAGCTCTTGGTGCAACATTTCTCTCCGTCCTCGACCCCCCAGTCACTAAATTGGACCTCTTCATCGCTGGAGCTCCCGTTGCTGCAACCTTGTAGCAACCTCCTGCACTCGAGCCCTGAGTATACGCGCTCAAATGAAGGGACGCCGCGTCCCCATGAGGTCGTCGAGATGCCGCAGCTCGTTCAGTGCCGGTTTTCATTGGCGGATATCGCGCCCCGTCCGTGTCCTGATGAGGTCGTTTCATTGAAGCGGCTGTCCCGGAGTTGAGCTGGCGGGAAGCGTGAAGGGCGCGCTGGGAGTAACTGGAGACGGCAAGTGCGACGCGGTTCTCCTTGTCGGCATCAAAGTGTCGTCGCATGTGGGAGGCGAGAAGGAGAGAGAGAGAGAGAGGGACGCAAGGTGATGGATGGGGGAGCGACGGCCGCCACGAGCTCGACGTCCGGTCAAGTCAAGCGGCTTTCTGATGTATACACAGTGTGGCGTCGTAAAATACACGGAGGGTTGAGGTAAATTACATGATGCAACGAGTCGAAGTTTGCACGGCTTGATAGCTGACAGGACCTGTCGAAGAGACTGCGTGGAAAAAGAACGGCTACTACTGAGTTAGGTGTTGAGTTTTGGTAACTGGAGGATTCGGCGGTCAGGAAAATCAAGTGGCGAAATTGGACGATCTCAGGTCAAAAAAGTGTTTTTTTTTCTTCTTTCTCGTCGCATGAGCTCGCGAAGTGCGCAAAACTGCGTCCATGAGGGGAACGACGTGCTGGTAGCAGACTTGCTGGTACTGAAACAGCGCATACGCGAGTCCTCGCATCTTTCGTCGAACTACGGACGCGCGATTGCCTCGATCCGGGCACACCCGACGCCTCTCCGCAGCGCCTGCGAGGCCCGGCGGCTTAAGAACATTGGCAACTATTTGTCCAATCAGATCCACTGTATTCTGAAAAAGAGAGGCCTCTTACAAGACGAATCGCCACCCGTTTCCAGACCCATTTTATCCGTGACTTTGCCCCCAAATACAGCAATAACGACAGAGGACCGTATACCGAGGGAGTACGCTCCGGTATACCGCAAGCGTACGAAAATAAGGTGTACTAAAATACCAATTGTCAGTACTAACGATTGAGGGATGACTGTATGGAACAGAGCCATGGTATGTGTTGCTGGCACTGCTGGAGGCCCAAGCAGTGGACGAAGACGCGGCCGTGCCGATGACCTCGTTGTTGCAGAGGATGCTCAAAGCTGGGGTGAGGTGCACAAATATGACTAAGTGGAGGTGCTCCTGAAAACGAGGTATTGATTTCTAGCATACCTTGATGTATTTGTAGTACACTGGCGACAGCGACAAGTTGCGCGCGTGTCTCATGTCGCTCAGTGGCACGCACGACGTGGTGACGCGGTCGAACTTGGGGTTTTACTATTTGACAGACAAGGGTCAACGTAGTGCTGAGCTGTGTCCTAAAGCACCGACAGGATCATGTATGAGTGTCGCGGCTACTGCGACAATCTCAAATACCGATGTTTCTACTGCTGCTGCAAAAAAGCAGAAGTATTTGGCAAGTGTAGCTATCCATCAGCGTCCGTTGAATTCGGACTTGACGTGTATTGAGGTGGACAGCTCGGACGATCATGCCTTTTCGGAAAGAGTTGTTGAACCAGATCCTGAACCGATGGAGAAGAGCTGCACTGGTTTAAAAGAATTCATCCAAGAGACGGATACGTGGGAGTTGGTGCTGCTATTAGATCATCGTGAGGTTATTGAACGACGCAATCCACACATTCTAGAGCGAAAGCTACTGGAGCGAAACGTGAATTGCGAAGTCCGTGCACTTGGTGTCGGTGATGTCCAGTGGATAGCTCGCCGACATCGTGTCAACGAAGCTACGGAGGAATTTATGATGAACGTCATTGTCGAGCGGAAGGAAGTGCACGATCTGTCGAGCAGTATTATCGACCGTCGCTTTATCGAACAGAAATTGCGCCTGGCAACCGTGCGAGAGAATTGCGGTGACGTGCATGTTATTTATCTCATCGAAGGCTCTCTGACGCAAATAACTACAGTGCGCACGAGCGGGCTCCACACGACTATGGGTCGTACACAAGTGCAAAATAACTTTTTCGTTCAGCAGTGCCGGAACGCGGACGAAACCGTGACGTTTCTTGCTCGTGTGCATGCGCGTTTGCTATCAAATTTCCCGCCGATCTCGAGGTCTGCCAAGCCTGTAACCACACACCTGCTATCCCAAAGAGAGTTCGACTCGGACACATTCGCACGGTCTTTTTGCGTACCGCCTCAAACCTTCGCGCCGTTCAATTCGTTGTTTCGAAAGAAGAACCAGTTTACCGTGCAAGAAATTTATCAACGGATGCTGTTGCAAGCACCCGGACTGAGCGCTGCCAAGACGGTCAGTTTGTCAGCGAAGTACCCGAATTTTTGTGAGTTGGTGAGCGCTTTGCGCAAACGTGGTCGAGACAGTGAAGTTGAGCACGTCCGATGCGGGAAGACCCAGCGTCGCCTTGGCTTGAAGGCACGCGAGTGTCTTGGCGAGTTGCTGACTTCCAGTCAGTACACGGAAGACATGTGATTGTAAGCTTGTTTCCAACATCGCTACAATGCATTGAGCTGTCGCATGCCCGACTCTGTTATATTTGTGTGCGATATAGTGGTTGTCATGAAGTATCGAAGGCACGATATCCGTCGACGTCCTAGCATCACGCTTTTGCATTTAATACTCATGATCTGATCAAGACGCCACTTGTAATTTCGAGGGCAGCGTCACGTATGGATACATTATTGTGCATCACATCGAATTTCCGTGATCGTCACTTTTTAGGCCAGAAAACATTTACGCTCTCAGATATTGGTTTTGATGTACAAGTTGTTGCAGGAGACCAGGGTGTCAGATTGTTTGCATTGGGTATCGAGCATATTGCTGGTATTCTTCTGTGCGGATCGTGGGTACAAGGATCTCAGGTACATGGTGCAGAATTCGCGAAATGGCATTTCAGGTGTTGGTGTAAAAGTCGTTGATAATCAGTAGACGAGCAGGTGTGGAATAGGTACAACGAATGACTCAGTTGAGTGTCGTTAGTCTAGCAGCAATTGAGCATTAACAGAAGAGGTCTTGCGATTTGCATGTCTTCTTTCGACATCATAAATTGACACAATACCGGACATTATACGATAATTCCCGTTGATGGAGTGAGTTAGAAGGTGACGTATGTTTAAATACGCGTACGATCCCTTTATCCTGTCGCTACACAACAAAGTTACCTTGGCGACTACTACATTATAATCGAGATAATATTAGTCCTTGGACGGCATAGTACCTTCGCACAGAGTCTTGTCTCGAGATGATCAGGTCCGTCGATGTTAGTACGGGCACTGTAGGTCGCAGTGTTTGGCGTTATAGACCTCCAGCCAGTGGTTGACACCATTGTTGAGGAAGGTCGTAGCCTCCTTATAACACCATGTTCTTCTAGAGAAGCGTGCACTTGTATAGAAGGCCCTATGTACATAGCGACATCTGCCAGTTGATCCGATATTTTGTTGTAGGTGCAATAATGATGTCCCCAGCTGGGAGCGTCGATATCATTAGCTACGGCCTGTGCATCTTACAAAAAGGACGCACCAGGCGTGTCTTGCGTGGGGGGGGTGAAGCGCTCAGAGCTGCAAGAGCATAAGCGCGCTATCCCCAATAACATGCAGGGGTGAGCAAGCGATGATCTTTGTATGTCGTAGACATCAGGCTCAGTATACAGCAGCAGAATCAGCGGTATCTACAGAACTATGTGCCATGCTCGATACCTACATGACGCATGCGGCGTGCATTCGAAAGTGGAGTGAAAAATGACGGATCCTGCTCCGTCCGGCCCTGAATTTCATCGTGAACCTCCGACGAGAAATAGGAGGTACATCCTTCCTGGACACCGTTCGATAGGTAGCACTGCAATGAAGGCGATTATTCGTAGCACTGTAGAGTATCAGTCAAGGAGGACCCTATGTGCGCAAAGAGTTGCCCATCTCCCCTTACATCGGGCTATTCTGTTGATCTACAAAACCGCCAAGCCGACCGTCGAAAGAGGATCCTGGCTGGCTGTGTTAACCCCCTGTGACAAACACAAGTCGTTCTATGGCGGAGACGATCGATCTTGATAGCATGAAGTGTTGAAAATACGAAGAAACGTCGTAGCTCAAGCTGCTAAGAAGACCACATCTTGAGCTCTCAATGCATCTGCGTCTGGGTCGATAGATTGTTTGATAGCATCCCATGCCTTGTGCAGGACCCCCGGTCTGTCCATGCTGAACGTCCAGACCTGAAAGTTAGCATCTTTGAAAGCTCCAAGTCATCGCTACCGATCAATTTAATACTCCCAGTGGCGATGTGCATTGAGGCAGGGCTAGTATACATGAATTGCCATTGCTGGATCAGTAGCCGAACACTCAGGTCCGGGACACGACATATCTTGGGTATACCAATTCCAGAGCAAAAAAGACGTTACTCATTAGCGATACAGTGTCAATGTGGCAATTGAGAAAGGAGCTCGTAGCTGTAACGAGCTTGTAGATCGCTGTCTAAAGTTGTTACTTTGCGTACCGCCGTGAAGATGTGAAGAGCATTAGGTATAGGCCGCTTTGTGATTAAACTGTTCTGTGCTTGCAGAAAAAGACGTGAAAGAATCGGCCACAGGCCGAAACTACAGAATTTTAATTAAAATGTTGTGGCCGCTATTGAGAAGCCAGATCGGCTATGGTCAAGCGGCAAGGCGGAGGCCTCCGTCATTTTCATACACTGAATGTTTGCATCACCAAACGACGACGGTAACACGCTGCAATTCAACCCATATGGTGTACAATACAACCAGAACAGGTGCGAAAGCATCTGCGCAATTTCCATTAAAAGTTGGAGATTTCATCCGGTCCCGCGTTTTTCCCACATTTTGCCCTTTCAAAGCCGCACTCACATTATCGATGGAAATGGCGGCACCACGGTATATTCTTTTACCCGTTCCGGTGAGGCGGCTCTAGAAATCATGAGGTGGTAGCTTCAGGACAAGCAAATGATGAGTCATACTATGCTTCCAGACGTCGGACATTTCACAGCCATTTCCTGAGAGCGATTAGACCCGTCCGTAGATATTCCACCTAGGACAACAATAGTCTTGTCCTGATTTTTTTCGACACCCGAGCATAGAAGATTCAAGACGTCTCGTCTGGAGAGTATATGTGCTGGACAAGAAGTAGATATTTCCTGAAATTCTGCCATAAAGCGTCAAAACTCCGCGACATTACGCCCGAATTCCGTAGGATTATGGACTATCCCAGATCGATTGCAGCTTTCTTGTGCACTCTTAGGGAGATTATTGGTTTACCACGCCCCATATAGCGCTGATCCCAGTTGGATGTACAGACTCAGCCGCTGCATACAGATTCTCGTAAGACCTTGTCGAGCTTTTTTAAAGTCGCCAAAGGAACTTTGTGGAGCCTTATCTACATTTATATTCACCATTCGGCCAATCTTCGGGATGGGAGATAGTCCGAAGTCGGAACAGAACAGTTTCGTCCACTTTAGGCTGTGCAATTTCTGTTGCACCAAAAGTTCCCTGTCGATAGTCGCGTATCAACATCCTGTAACACTTTTGACTCTCCTCGAATTTTGTACACGCACAAATGTGACGTAGTTGCTGAGTCAAATACCGACAGATCAGCATGATTGATCCAACAACGTGTAAAGATCTCACATAACACTGATCAAGCCGTAAATTAGCCGATCCACCGCCAAAAAAGTGTATTGAAAAGTGTGCGCTGCCGCAGAGAAAGATGGTATCACTCTGGCTTCTTCCGATATCTCCACGTCATCTCCAAGAACATCGCTTAGCTGCTACCAATGTAGAATCCTTCTCATCTCTAAAAAATCGTGTTTGACTGGAGGTGAGATGAAAGCATGGTCAAGGCGCGACACTAGCGAGCAGTTAAATTCCACTTCAATGAAGTATGGCTCTTTAGAGTCACAGTGAGCGTTGCTTTAGCCCCTAAAAACGTGTCCCTTTCAGTATTATTAATTAATGTATAAACGCAAACAACAAAGAAAGATCCTACTAGAATAGTAGTATGAAAAGCCATCCAGTGAAGTGTCCAATGATCTCCTTGCCAGAGATCCAGTTCAGTAATCGATGGGTATAGATTCTATTTTACTGCCACTCTTCCTCGAGAGCTCCCGGACTCTGTACACAGCAAGTGTCCTGGTTTGTCCAGAAATCCTTAAATGAAAGCCGTACAATTTCATTGTTGATGACTAACCAAGGATGACCCATATTTATGTAGAAGTACCACGCAATGGCACCTAAGCTCCGCGATGCCTTGTTTGAATAATTATGCTGAGAAGAGTTACGGATGCTTCGGGGTCCCGAAACGTTCTGCTAATGGAGACTGATGCGGTTTTCTTGTTGCTGTCAGAAATTCTTCACCATAAGTCTTTAAATACGTCAGGAAATGGCTACAACGTCGTTGGAGAATGCCCGCCAGTAAATGTCTGCCGCTTAAGGTTGATCTGAAGAAGCGTTGTAACAGAGTAGCCCGTTCCATAATATTGACACCAAACGGTGTCAATAGGGAAATTGTCTCGTGTGGCAATTCCATGACAATATTACCTGGGATAGTAATATTGAAGGAGTATTATCCCCTTCGGATAATATTCGTGCGCTGCGCAAAGATTGGCTGGTAATAGACATGTCAACCCAGGTTACCGCCAATCGCTGCTAGACGCGCGCGATGAGTGATGAGCAGTTTGTCGTCATACGTCAATGTAGATCAACATAGTTAGATGAAGACTGAAGTTACATTGATAGCGTAACTACATTAAATACAGCTCTCTTTTTGTCCTTTACTTGACCGAGTCGTTCAAGTAGGTTAGCTTCCTCTGCACGTACTAGTGTACGTGAAGTTTCGTGGCATCCCAAACCAAGGGTGCCCCGTTACAGGGGTTAATTCTGTCGATCGTACGCGGTCACTTTGTGAGATCTAGAAAAAAGCAGCGTATAATCACACACCTTGATTGTCCAGCCACTGACGCATCCGAGACGCCATCAGCGTGGGGGATCCCGCATTGACAACCCTAGTGATAGGGTCAAGTGCCGGTTGCCAGTTGGAAGGTTTACAAATTAGGCTGAATACTGCCGTGTGCACCTCATTGGACAGATGGCATAGAGCAGCCTTGGTCTGCGGCATCACTACTTTCTTCATCCCTGACAGGTGCTAGATGATTAGTAGTACTCATCTAAAATTGAGGATTCATTTATTATTCTAGTCCGCAAGCTTTTCGTCGGCTGTCGCACACGTTAACTCGGGGCTGTAGTTCACTGAATCGACTCCAGCTTCGTATGTTTTTAGTCGTTTTCCAGCGAAGGTAATCCGTTTTCTCGTCACCGTCGCGATCCAAACCGAGCACAACTCGCGAAGTTTCTCATCTGCGTGTGTGGCGTGCTGACGGATCACTACCAGTTGAGACTTGCTTTTCATTTTTCGTTTATTAACACGCAGGTTTCTCCCAGTATCGAGGTAATGTAAGCAATAGGGTACGTCAGCTCACGGACAGGGGCCGTCACTTCCAACGCACAAGATGTATCCATGCGACTTGGCCCTTCAAAACTGACATCTGACATCGTAGCCGGTAGAGCAGCCACTACTTTGTGCAGGATGAACCATTTCCGGATCGTATCTCTTTAAAACAATGTACTTTGTTCTTCTTGGCACTGACGCAGCTGATAACGCAGAAGACGCTGTTTCTAAACTTTGCACACTCTCTTTGCTCGCAAGGTCTGATCAAGATAATCGTAAGTGCAAATATTAGCAAAGGTGGACAGGACCGCTACCTCATTACACTGATCTTCCAGACTATCGATAGGACGTTCGTCATACCATAGCTAGCCCAGTCTGACTCAGAAATAATTCCCGATGAATCTTTAAGTTCTTTTCTAATATCCTAACCCAGACCAGCTGAAAATAGGAACGATAGCGTCACAGGGGGGCGGAGTCACAGATACTCCAGCCAGATTATCCATAGCATTGTTTTTGTCATACGTATTAGTACTTTAAGCCATGGTAAGATTAAGATAATGTGGTTATTGCCCGTCTGTATCCTTAGAACACGTCGTGGTGGCATGTATAATAGATCCGGAACGTGAGATGCCGCTCCCATAGGCATCGTAATCATCTGATGGCGCGAAAGTCACGCTGGGCATGGCCCGTTTGCGGCGAATATACTAAGCCGAAAAACGTTGATGTGTCAAGCGATCCAGCTCCTTTGTCTTTTCCGCCAGCTAAGAAGTCAGATCGCTAGGAAGTACGCAGCTCTCGAAACCCTGATTCTGCTCTCGGGCTTCGGTTTCGAATTATTCTATGCCAACCGGTGTTTTAAGTCTTTAATTGACGTTGTTGCCCTGTCGCTTGCTACACCGCTCTGTTCTCCGCGTATAAATTACGAATACCTTACCGCAGGTACGGTTCTAGTACAAATTCTCTGCAAATCCCCCATTTTCTTCGAGAAGTAGATTCCTGAAGTTTCATTATCAATAGCATTTTAATCGAATAAGCATGAGTCTTTAAATGGCAATATTGCATGGTTTCAGCCGCGCGCTTCTTCTCCACGGATTTTTAAGTGAATATTGATCTTTTGTTGTGCGTCCTTAATTTATGATTTATTCACCGCAAGAGCTGTCTCTTTCAATGACTTTGAAAGCATCAAGCAAACGACCCCGATATCATGATTGAAACCGCCGCAACTACCTGGTGATCATGCTGAATAGGAGGAGCCGGACTTGGTGGAGTCGCCTTACAAATCTGTCAGAATTGTTAAACTGCAAATGTCGGTACAGTGTCACAACCGAGGCCTGCAGGTAGAATCGATGGACCCACTATGGGTCGCGAATCTTGCTTTTCCTTGTTTGCGCCAGGGCCAAATTACCCGTTTGCAGACGTGCCAGTGTTACGAATAGCACCACTACTCGCTGCCGGTCCTCCAGCGGAAGGGGACAAAGCGGAGTCACCCGATTCCACATTCCGAAGAGGTGACTACGACGCCTTAGTCAACAGGGAAGACTGGTCTGTACCCGTCTTCAACTTCGCCGTATTCCCCTTCAGGGTATTTGTCAATTTATAGACATGGTGCTGAAGGCGTCTTGCCATGTCGAGATGGTCAAAATTGGACCTACTGAAGTGTTGATGTGCAATAGGCATACTAGTATACTCGCCATGATGATCAAATTGTAAGGTGTATTTGCGACCTCTGCACTTGTCACACGAGCGATAAGGTAAGGAGAAGGTAAAAAAGGAGGCGCGTTGGTAGCGCTGAAAATGGTGGAGATGGATTGCTGTTCAGAAAGTTGAGATGTGCGGAACCAACTTGATATAGTTCGTACAGGACCCCGTGTCAAAAGGCGCAACAAGAAACTTGTAGTTGTAAGCCTTTGATCCTCTTGATCAACTAAGCGTCACGGATGACACAGCACAGGACACAGTGAAGACCAAAATTGCCTAAACCATGCTAGCTGCCACTCCATTGACAGAAAGTAGCCCCCAACAGGTTTCGGCCGTCGGTATAGCAGACACCTATGGATTGGTATTGTCTTCACGCTGCATAGTAGCAGGACACAAAAGTTGATGTCGCTTACCGTAAAACATAACTAACTTCGTATGCCAGCTCGCAGCAGCCGCTTGATCCAGCAGAATGAATTTCAGACGTCTCGCATCAGCATCATTATTGTATTGCTAAACCCTTTTGACGAGTTCCCGACTTAGTAAAATAGGGCCTGTCTCCCCCGCAATGCTTCAAGAGCTAAAGGAGTGTGTTATTAGCGATGTACTAAGGCATGAGCACGAAAGGAGGTAAATTGCTATCACCTTCCCTTCCAGGTACGCTTTTGAAAATTAAGCAGCACGACCCGCGTTGCACGTGGGTGCGTGCATACCAAAAACATTGGTTGCGACGGGAGCATAATTCCCTCATCATCCATGCCAAAAGTGACTCCTTTATCACAAGGAGTATCGGAGCAGATCGTCGCTGCTTTCTTTATCCGCGGCCTGTTGGCTGTGCGTATACGAATCGTCCGTCGGTCCTGAGGTGTCTCTGACCCCGCAGCGCCGGATCGGGTTGTTTGCGTGGGCTGGTACGACTGGCTGAACTTGAGTTGGTAACTGAGTGTTTAATTTACCAGGTATGGGGCTGTTCAAGTCGTTAGCATCACGTCAGCGAAGCTCGTCGGGATTATCACGAAAAACCCTTTGACAACATCTCGGCGAATTTCGTCGCGGTTATGTCGGTACAATTTTTGCCGATATACGACGGCTTCATGGTAACCGGGGCTGTTGTTGGAGTCATAACATTCGCTGGGTCTCCTGGTCACATCTTTTTACGAAATTCGCCTAGGTGCCACCTCAAGCACGAGGTCCGGCCCGCATGTTCCCTAGGGCGTCCCTAACAGCTCAGGGAAATATGGGTGGAACGTTTCCCACCCCAAGGGTCAATTTCTCGCTCTTCGAGAGTACCGGCATGTGGTCAAGCTTCACGTGTGCACCGTGTTATCCTGTTAAAGGGATAGCAGCGCTGTACAAATGGCTGCCGTAGGCAGTACACGTGAGTTGTATGCACCCTTCCGCGTGCAAAAATGTATCGTCTGCACACATGGCCGCACACTGGAAAGGGATAACCGTCAATGGAGCTTATTTGTAACGGGGCACCCTGAAGCTTGTACTGGTGACAGTACAAGCTACTTATTCTGATGACAGAATAAGGCGGTGCCTCGTAACTTCACGTACACTCGTACGTGCAGAGGAAGACGGTAAGAAGAAGCGAGTACTTGGTTAAAGTAAAAAGTAGAACTGTATTTATAATAGTTAATGTCTGCAATAAATCACTATTTATCTTCATCTAACTATGTCTAAATACAAATGTGTAAATCAACTATCTGCTCACCACTCATTGCGTGCGTCTGTCGTGGCGCGTCTTCGTTGGTTGATATAATGGCCTATATCAACCAATTAGGAACCACTCGTAAGTGCTACAGAATATTTGTCCTTATGACAATATTCTGAGAATATAACTCTTATAGTTATATTCTATTAACAATTTCTTATAAATTGTTATGTAACGATTCACCCCGTTACATCACCCCCCCCTTAACCATCAGTCACTTTAGTGACTGATTGACTAAATGGATACTCGTCCCAAATCATTTGGGACAGGGTTTGAACTTGTTGGTCCGCGTCCACTTTCCAACATCTCATCGCATGGTTAACAAACCCATGCGATGCGCGAGCAAGGCCGCCGAGAGCGCGTCCACACGTCTCTGTGCGGACGCCGAAGCAGAAGCAACAGCAACTGATGTCTCATCGGTTGCTGAAGCGACCCAGCCTGTGTCACTTGGTGATGCAGGCGCTGGTCATGAAGACACTCGTGTCTTCACAGAGTACGAGCTCGGTGTCTCGTACTCTCCTGATACGGATGACGGATCCGTATCGACGGCGATTGAATCTAAGCCGTCTGCCAAGCGTGGCATGGACGATGCTTTGCGTCGCAGCATCTTTGGTTCATCTGATTCATCAGATGAACCATCGCCGAAGCGAAGGCGCTCGAGGTCGCGAGACTCGGGCGCTAACAGTGGTGTCGGTTCTCCTATGGACACCACTTCACAGCGAGGTGCCAGTACTTCTGTCGGCACGTCGCAGGAAGAGCGGGACCGCAATGTGTTGCGTCTCGCTCCTGAAAAGAAGGCATGGATGCCTCCAAAATCCGTCATGGATCACTTGTCGGCGACGACGAGTGATCGTTATCGAACACGGTTGTTCAATTCGTCAAGGATCCATCACCTTGACCCCAGTGCGAAAAACTATCGCGCTGAACATGAATTCTTCATCGATGCTTTCTTCAAACATCGATGGTACAGTGGGAATCACAAACGTGATGGTCCCTCACTGCTTCAAGCGTGAAACGCCTACATCCATAACCTTGAGGATGTAGGTCGCGACGCTTGGAACGACAAACTTATCAAAGCTCGTGATAAGTTTGAAAAGCGAACCCCGACAGGTGCACGCTACAAGCTGCATCGTCTGTCAAGGGAGAAGGGATTACCCTGCCTCTCTTGGGGAGACTCGTGCCCATGTTGTGTGAACAACTCTGCACGAGCACCTAAGGAGGCTTACCTCCTTACTAGCCCGTGGTGGCGCGTACGTATCTCTATTGAGATGTACGAAGGGATTGACAACTTGAAATCCCTTTACGACCGTGCTGGGAAGACTTTCTCCGGCGGTACTTGTGCGGCACAGGATGTGCCGCGTCGTACTGCTCAACCAGACCCAGTACGTCGATCATCAGTTGGGAGAGGGGCTCCCGAGAATCCAAGGACGGGGGATAGCCGCGCCACCGGACGAGATAACTCGTCCGACGTCCGTTCACGTCGCGGTGGTTCAACAGCTGCTCAACTAGATAGCGCTGGCCACCGCGAGAGTCCTCTAATGGAGGTGGAGGAGGAGGAAAGACGCTCTCCACACGATCATGTGGATCGGTGTGTTCCCGAGAGCTTCTTTGATCGCGTAACGCAAGGGTTACGCGACGATCTCGAACACGAGCGGAATAGGCGTCTCCAAATGGCGGACACTGCCTCGAAGCATCGAGCTGAGTTTGCCTTTGCTCAGCTTGAGAACGAGAGATCTCTGACATCTCTTCGTGACGAGCTAAGGGTAGCTCGTGGGATTGTTGATCGGTCTCGGGATGAGATAGCTGCTCTTCAGACCCTTGTTGATGCCCACCATCGGGAGCACAAGGCTCTCTGCGAGATGATTGAGCGCAAGGGCGTTCTTCATCGGAAGAAGCAGCGTACTGATGGTACGGCTTAAGCCGACCAACGTAAAACGTGGGATGCGTTCGCATCTTACGTGGTAACTCGATCGTGTATGCATTGCCTAGGCGGTGTAATACACGAAATGGGCCAATGTACTTGGGTAGTAGTTTACTGCTGCCCAAGTTAGTCACTACATGATTTGGTAGATTAACCGTAGACAGTAGGACTAAGTCACCTTTATTAAATAAAAGAGCGTTTGCCCTTCCATTCTTTTCAGCGTTTTGCTTTTGCTTATCCACCGCTTCGGCGATGGAATCTTGCACAAAACGGACTATTTCACGAGCCAGTATGAACTCATCTGATGACTCGTTAGCTTCAGTGCGCTGTGAGCGCACTGCAGCAACATCAACCTTTTCTTCAGTGAGGGCTTCCGCACTCTTACTGGCATCATCTCCTTCGATATCGATGTTATCGATATCGGCATCAAACGCAATGACCTCTTCGTCATAGCGTGATGAGCGTGAACTAAATTGGGTTTTGCTCGCGCGAGTCCCCCCCCCTTAAACCAGAGTTACACTCTAGTAAGTTGGGTACAAGCGGATGGCGTAAGCCATTCACGTAAAACGGTGTATGTGTCGTGGACGCATGCACCGAGTTGTTAATGGCAAACTCTACCATTGGCAAAAACTCACTCCAACTTGTAAGGAGTGTACGTATCCTCGAAGTATCTCTTCGAAGACACGATTGGCACGTTCCGTCTAACCATATGACTCAGGATGATCAGATGTAGACATCTTCAAGCGCGTTCCGAGTGATTTGAACACGGAACGCCAGAAATCAGCAGTGAATCGTGGATCTCTGTCTGATACGAGTTCACGGGGCAACCCATGAAGTCGGAAGATGGTGTCAATAAAGACACAAGCACAGCCACTTGCCGTGATTGTCTCTGGTACAGCCACAAGGTGTACCATTTTGCTGAATCTGTCAACAAATACGAGAATACCCGTATTCCCGCGTGCGTCTTTGGGTAACCCGAAGACGAAATCCATTGAGATGGATTCCCAGCACTCAGCCGGAACCGGTAGAGGCTGTAAAGGTGCACGCAGTGAAGGACTTGACTTCACTCGTTGGCAGACTTCACATGCGCGAACATACTTTCGCACAAAATGATACTGGCGGGGCCAGTAAAAGTCTCGACTCACCGTGAGATATGTTTTCTCTCGGCCACGATGTCCTCCTATAGGAGCATCGTGATACTCGAACATGATCCGCAAACGCAGATCAGTATCATCTGGAATGACAACACGTGGTGTGTCACCAGAAACGGCTTTATAATACAGTAAACCGTTACGAGTAGTGTATCGATCTGATGCAGATTGATACGCAGACGACAATCGTTTCAACGATTCTCGAGATGGTTGGGAGAGATGTGTCAACAACTTCACTATCTCACCATCTTGGGCGTATGCCCGCCTCACATCATCATGCAACGTTGTAGATGGGACTGAGGACGTCATAACCGCAACAGTGACTGTCTAACTGTTGGGTTTCGCGACTGTTTCAAAGTCGGGACGACGTGAGAGTGCATCAGCGACGACATTAAGTCGTCCTGGTTTGTACTCGACCGTAAAGTTGTATTCCGCAAAGAATGACAACCACCGCGCCATTCGTTGTGAAAGGTGCGGGCTGTTCACTGCCGTGCGTAATGACGCATGGTCAGTGTAAACAACGAAGGGTCTATCTCCTACTAGATAGACTCTGAACTTCGCGAGTGCATACTTCATGGCAAGGAGTTCCTTGCCATGCACTGGATAGTTCCGCTCAGCTGATTGCAGCTGACGCGACTGATAGCAGACGACGCGTTCAACGCCTTCAAGATCGTACTGCATTAATGCACAGCCGATTGCGAACTCGCTGGCATCACAGACCACATGAAATGGCCTGTCCTGATCGGCTATTGCTAGGACTGGGGATTGTATCAAGCTCTGCTTGATACCCTCAAAGGAGCGCTGACATTCAGCGTTCCATGACCACATCTCGTTCTTTTTCAACAAACGAGAGAGGTGCACAGTCATCTCGGCGTAATTGCGTGAATAATTATGCAAATACGCCGCTAGCCCAAGGAATTTTCGAAGACCTTTGACATCAACCGGCACAGGCCAGTCGGTGATCGCCTTGATCTTTTCGGGATCAGGACGTTCACCGTTCTTACCAACGATGCACCCAAGAAGTGGTATTTCACTTGCTGCAAATATACACTTCTTGAGGTTTGCATACAATTGATGCTTTCGCATGATTGTAAGAACCTGTCGGACGTGGTACCTGTGAACCTCAACGTCCGACTTTCCATCCATAGCTCGACTATGGATGAATACGTCATCGAAATAACTCGGCGCGAATTCTCGTACTGGTCTCAACAGATGTGATACACATCTGTTGAAAGTGGCAGGGGCATTACTAAGCCCTTGTGGCATTACTAGCCATTCCCAGAGCATGCCGCTAGGCGTGCTAACTGCGGTATAGGGTATATCCCGTTCCCGCATAAGGATTTGATAGAAGCCATCCATCAAATCCATGGACGAAAAGATGGTACTCTTTGACATACCATCAATGATTACGTCCTTCCTCGGTATCGGCGTCTGAGCCGGTACCGTTGCAGTGTTCAATTTGTTGAACGCGTGCACTATCCGCCACCCTCCTGTTGCTTTTCGCACACAGAAGGTCGGAGAGCTATGTGGGGAAGTTGATTCCCTCACATGGCCCGCTGCTAAAGGATCGGCAAAGAACTTGTCGATCGCAAGTACTTGTTCACGAGGCAGTGGCCACTGCTTCATGACACAGTACTTCGAGCCTGGTTTAAGCTCGACCTCGTGTCGAATACCTTTATCCTTCGGTAACTCGCACGGAACAGTTTCAGGGAATACATCCTTGAATTCAACCAAATCTTCATAGAGAGGATTTTTCTTGAGCGATTCCCACGATTGGGAGTCATATCGCTCAATTCGTGTCTTTTCATCTAGGACACTCTCTTCCATAGATGAACTACTGAGAACTCTCTCGTTCTCAGTGAACACTGTTGCTGACCTTTATGTCGGTTACACACTCGTCGTCAGCGACGAGTATGCAGATCTGCTTGACTTTGCCACTACGCAGATCACGCAAGAACCTTTTATGTTCGAGCGTTGGAAACTGAGTGATCTCCGAAGTCAACTTCGGAGGCGCAATCAGATCAAGTGTATAAGCGCCTACACTTGGTCCGTCATTGACTAGGACATTTAATGTCTCTGTCATTTCCTGGGGACTTATTCCCTCAGGCATCGAAGGACTTATTCCTTCGGCTTCCCGGGGACTTATTCCCGCGGGTTTCGGGGAACTTATTTCCGCCGTATTTGTAAAATCGGGACTTATTCCCTTTACTTCCTCTAGCTGGGGTTGCGCAACCACAGCGAGATCCTCTACGAAAGACTCTCCAGTCGATCTAGGATTATCGTTTCGCTTAACCTGAGCGATCGATTGTTTCTCTTCTAGATGTTCCCCGCTAGGGATACATCTTTGTCCCAGTCCACCGGACTTATTCGAGTGGTGGACCTTCGGCGCAGCCTGTGTTTCCTCACAGCCGCCAGAACTTTGCTCCGAAGTGTAACCGTTTGGTACACTAAGGTTTTGTGCAGTCGTACTAACGACCGTACCACAAGTGAGGCCATCGCACTCACTCGTAGTACATCCACACGCTTGTGGACGCTCCAAAACGTTCATCAGATGGCCATCTGATGAACAAGCGGCAGGCATCGTTACTGTTCGATGTTGCCAGTTTACTCGTGGTTCGTACCTTCTGAGCCACGGTATTCCAAGGATGACATCAAATTTGTCATCCAAATCCAATACGATAAAGTCATCGTCATATTGGGTATCTTCTAGAGTATAGTGGATCTTCACTATACGCTTCATGACGGTTACGGATGCGCCTGTCGCAAGACGTACCGTCATCCTCGTAGGAGGTGTGTCACATTCACTGAATTTAAAGTGACCATCTTCTAGCGATTGGCGTCGCACAAAATTGTTGGACGCCCCACAATCGACTAGAGCTCGAAGGGACAACTTATTCGTCACTTCGAGTTTCAAGGTAATGAGTGAGACCTCATTACCTAG